ATGGAATTCCTGAGAAAAAGAAGAGATTTGCTGCCAGAGCACAAAATAAGAATCAGACATTAGCTCAAACTTCACAGAAGGTCACTTTCACTCCCTGGAGAGGCAACCGCTTGAGCCTCTCATAATCCAATCTAAATTAAATGGTAGCGATGGCATTACAGTCTTCCATTCCACACATGTTCTGTGCATGGTACTTGATTTTAATATAAAATTAGATTGAATTCCCAATCCAAACCTGGAGAGTCATCGAAGGGGAGAGAAGAAATGGAAACGGAGAAGGCCTGATAGCTGAAGATAGCACCAGACATGTTAGAAAGCTTGTGGAGTATTTAAAAGCAAGCAGTCTTGTGTCCATAACACACTATTTATAAAACTACTGTGTCCCCTTTACCATGTACATAGTCCTTTATATATCAAATGTCATGGACTCTAAATTTTTGTTTTATTTTGTCTTTTGAGACACGTGTAACCCAGGCTGGCCTTGAACTCAAGATCCTCTTATTTCAACTTCCCTAGTGCTAGGATCATAGGCATGACTCACCACATCCAACTGTGAAATTATTTTAAACAAAAGAAAATTAGACACTTTGAAACATGAAAATATTGAAGAAGTGAGATTTAAAAATGTCACTTAGAGAAATAGCAAGTGATAACTAGGAGAAGTTTTACCACCACCATCTACCTGACCTCTGCGTTATATAAAATGTTTGTTATAGCCAGCTCACACCTGAAATCCTAGCAGAGATCAGGAGGCAGAGATCAGGAGGATGGTGGTTCAAAGCCAGCCCTAGGCAAATAATTTGAGAGACCCTAACACAAGAAAACCCATCATAAAAAAGGGCTGGTGGAGTGGCTCAAGGTGTAGGCCCTGAGTTCAAGCCCCAGTACCACAAAAAATGATAAAAAATAAAAATAATAAAGTGTTTGTGTTTACATTGTCTTAAATCACATTTGCTCTTCACAAAGTTATTAGGTTCATCCTATCCTTCCATTTTATGAACAAGACTGAATTTGATATTTTGAATATTAAGAGACTGTGTTAGCAGGAGAGGGCTGTCATAATACCACAGTCTGCCTTAAAAAGAGAAATTCCTTTTGTCACAGTTCTGAAATCTGGAAGTTCAAGATTGAGGTGTCCACAGAGTTGGTGTCTCCTGAGGCTTCTCTCCTTGGCTTGCTGATGACCTCCGTGTCCTCACATCCTAGTGTTCTTGTATCCTTGGTGTCTCTTTGTGTATCCAAATTTTCCCTTCTTATATGGACACTAGTCAGATTGGGTTAAAATACAACCATACGGCCTCATTTTTACTTAATCTCTTCTTGAAAAGCTCTATCTTGAAATACTGTCACATTCTGAGGTACTGAAGCATAGAAACATACAAATCTTCTAAACATCCTAGGCTATGGAGCTAAACTGATGTAGCATTTCATAAGAGGAGCGGGAAACAGAGAGGGCTTCCCAGTCAGCACTGACCAAGAATTTCCAGACTTCTACACTAGCAAACAGGAAGGAACACTACACTCAATACCACCCAACTGAAATAGAATAAGAGCCTCATTTTAAAATTTTTAATTCTTTAGTAGCCATATTAAAAATAGTAAAAAAAAAGAAAAGAAACAAATGAAACTGAGTTCAATACTCTTTAACCAAAAATATCCAAAGTAGTATCAATATGATATGAATAATACATGTTTTCATTTTCATGTTAAGTCATCAAAATCTAGTTTGACTGGCCACATTTCAATTGTTTAATAGCTACATATGGCTAATAACTGAGTTGGGCAATTCTTATATTTTAATAAGTTCCCTGGGACAGATGCTGTCTCAAGTGCTGAAGTTTAATCATAAGCCCCTTCCAATCCAATTAACTGCTACTTATAAAATCTTGCAATAACTTTCTTTGTTTCCTTTGGGATACGAGAGTCCAATATCTGCCTGATTTTTTAGGGACTACGCCTATTGCAAAAATCCTAAGCAGTCTGTGTATGTAACTCACTGATCTAAAAGCTTATATGCATGCCATTGAGAAAAGAATATACTGATCATGGGTGCAGTGACCTTGAAACAATCTATTGCCCCATATTTTGCCTGAAAAGAAAAATTTATTACATGGTTGTTAGAAATTCCATTCCCATTGAAGGTTTTTCTGAGGGTCCTGCTTATCACCTAGACACACATTCTCAGCCAAATCAAATGAAACCCCTACTCTAATATCAGTGTCCTATTATTTACATCTTTGAGAGCCTTTATAATAGTCTTTGACCCTAAATCATTTAAATCTGATTATTTTATCAATGTGATCAATATTTTTAAAAGGCAAGAAACATAAAAATTCAAGCCCAATGTGTCTGAGTTGTCTGATGCTGGTCAATAAATAAGATATATTGAGTACTGGCAGGTGGGTAGTTCCAGGTGAAGACAAAGTAATTTATAACACATTATGTCCTTAAAGAATCTAGTAGGATCTAGTAGAATCAGGACTTCACTCACATAGATGAAAAAGGTAATAGTAAAGGCATCAGAAGATTGGAGAAGGAGTAGAGCATTAAGACACAGAGTTATCAGATAAGGATTCAAGGAGAGGTAAGATTTTTTATTGACCTCAGAACAAGCAGAATAAAGAAGGGGAAATTGTGAGTGGACAGAGCACTGCTAAATGAAGGGGAGTGGGAAGCCTGGCCATCCCAGCAGGTAGCATGGCTGTTGTTGGAAGGATGGTGGTGAGTTGGATGATAATAGCATATAGCCAATATAAGCAGATCTTTAAAATTTGATGTGTAAGGTAAGATACAATAAACATTGCACAGATAGGATTAACATGAACCAAGTGATATTCTTAGCTGATTTAAGCTATCATTGACAAAATGGAGAAAGAACTGATTAAAGGTAGCAAAAAGGGGCAGAGGACCTCATAATGATTAATGAGTGAGGTGACAAAAGTTCAGACATGAAATATAATTTAAAAAGTAGGTAAAAGGAATACCTAATGAGAATTGTTTAATAAAAAGACATACTATGTGGGACTGAGAAGTGGTCAGTCTCAAAATTTTTTACTTAGACAGCTGAATAAGTAGTTATATTCATAGGCGAGTAGGGAGTCTTTGGAAGATAGAAATGATTTATGAGAAGGGAAGGTTGCCAGGTTCAGTTTTGAGTGAACAGAGTTTGAGGTAATAGTGAGACATTAGAGTAAGCATAGATGATAAATAATGGAAAATGCAGGTGTGAAAGGCTGGATCCAGAGACTCAGGTTTGGGCAATATTCATGTGCAATAGTGAAACTGATTTTTATCTATCTACCAGGAGGGAAAATACATATACCCAGGGATTCTGATCACAGACCAAGGATTCTGACTCTAAAAAGCAATTCTGTAGTGTGTATCTTATAAAAAGAGAAAGTCCAGCCTCTGCCTAACCAGTCATCCAACTCCATCACAATGCCCTCACACTTGCTTCCAAAGCTCCAGTTCTACAGGTCAGGATCACTGCAGAGCTTACACTCTGGCTCATAATTCTGTCAGAGATGACAGTTAGGAGGAATGTGGGAGCAGAAATTGGCCTCTGTGCATCAGCAAAAACTCTCAGTTTCATCAGTTTCTCTTCCTCAGAAGAGAAATAAGACAGTACAATCCCTGGAGGTACTGACAGTTCATTGCAAATGAAAAAGGGATCCTGACATTAACTGTGACCATTGCTTGCCACAGACTAATTCATCCTTTCCTCTTTCACCTCTCCCAACTAGCCTTGTCAAGTTGCCACTGGAAAGGAATGTGCTACTTTTCAGTTAGACTCAAGATTCGATTACCTGCAATAAATCTACCAAGAATGCTTTTGATCTACTTCTTTTGTCTGGACAGTGCCATAATTTTGATGATATTGTAGAAAGAAGGTCCAAACCTTCCCTCGAAAGATCTGTCAAAGGGCTCAATTGACTTACAGGACTTTTTCAAGAACTGATGAAAGCCAGACTCTGGAGACCAGACTTGAGAGAATAGGCACAAAGGGAAAAAAGAAATCCAAGTAACAACAGTGGGAGACCTACAACAGATATCTAGTTTTCTGACAGAGACATGCAGATGGGGACAGTACACTGCTATGCCAACTAGTGGGCAAGATACAAATGTCCACCCAAGCCATAACGAGAGGGACTGACAGCAAATAACAGGGGCCTCAGCTTCAGACCTTAAATTCAGGCTCAGCCCTTTACATATTGGGGGATCTAGAAGTACAGGCAACATTCAAAAGATAGGGTCAGAGGCAGAAGACCAGGAGCAGAGACACAAGCACAGAGCACTCACAAGAACTGTGGACAAGGCAAGGGTTGATCTCAAGTCATCCAAGTCAGAGACCTGTTACTGGAAATGAGCATGAAGGGGTATAGTAAGCATAGTATGGCTTCCTTGATTAATGGTTAATTTATTGATCAAGTTAAAATGTCTATGATAAAAAAATTTATCTATCTAGTCCCATCAATCCTTTCCTTTAAAAATCCTGTTATTTGTTTAGCTTTATCCCTCTTCATTTTGACTAAATTTTCAAGAAGCTATTCCTCAGACTGAATTATTCCAGTGAATCTCCAGAGAAGAGAAGACAGGTTATTTGCAAAGTACCAAGCAATCTCTTCACTAGAAGGGAGCCCACCATTCTGTTTTCCCAGCAGTTTTTAAGTACAGATTTTCAGGTCATTCAGAAAGTTCTGTATTATCAGGACAATGCTAACTCTAAGACAGATGACACAAAAACTATTAATAGATGAGGGCTGTAATAAAGCTGAAGTAGAAAACAGAAGTGTTCCAAAAAGAGAAGTATGAAATGGAAGGAGAGTGAGACAAAATATTGTGCCTTCTGAGCTAGATGTTTGCCTTTGAGAAAGGGCACATTGCCAAAGCAATACAAAATCTTTATGGGCTCTTAAATACCACATATGGATTTTCTACCTGCTTACTGGTGAAAGAAGAAATACATTAACTTAAATTCTTCTTAATATTTCTTTCCTCAGAACCAGCTCCTCCCAAATCACTCTTTGCAGTGAACAAAACGCAGACGTCGGTGACTTTGCTGTGGGTGGAGGATGGCATAGCTGATTTTTTCGAAGTCTTTTGTCAGCAGGTTGGCTCTCGTCGGGAAACCAAACTCCAGGTACTGTCCATTTTGATTTTCATCTTCTGAGTTAATTTTGATGAAGACTTATTGTCTGAGCAAAATTAAAATCTATTTCCTTAAACTATGGAAAGTGAAAACTGTCCACTGACTCTTTTTGTATTTCAGAAATTACCATTAGTATGCTTAGATCAAACCCATACTTTGAGAAGTTTTATCTTTGTGAGGATCTTTTGTCCTTAGCCAATCCAGGACATACAGAGGAATAAAGGAACTGGTTTATTTTTCCTATTAGGTACTAAATTGATCAAGGGATGAAGACCTGTGTTATAAAATATAATTTAACAAACTTGAACAAATGATCAGTTTGGGGAAAGGCACTGTATAGAACACAAATGGTAGAAACAATACTTGCTTTCAAAAAGTTCATGTAACTATGGTTATTATATAAGTATAGAAATAAATCAAGTAAAATATGAGTGTCATAAGGTTCATACTACCAAGAGAATTTAAAAGAAATATGAATACCAAGATAGTAAGGAGGACAATTTTATTGAAAAGCAAAGTCTGAGAGACAGTTATTGCTTGAAGCCTCAGAATCATAAATAGCAGGAATGATTAAAATATTTTTTGCATAGAATTTAGACCTAAAAATAGTAACAATATAAGATCATTGTAGAAGGGTCTGTTGGGAGGGGGACCAGGAGGAGGGAGAAGGGGAAAGGAGAGGGTGGTGGGGTGAATATTACTGAAGTACATGATGATAGATAGATAGATAGATAGATAGATAGATAGATAGATAGATAGAATGAACATACATTATACATACATATGTATATATGTATATATAGCATAATAAAAGGCTGGGGCATGGGTAAAGTAGTACAGTACTTTCCTAGCAAGTAAAAGGCCCTGAATTTAACCCTAGTACTGTCCAAAAATAAATAAATAAAAGTAAAGCCTACTAAAACTCACTAAGAACTACTAAAAGGGAGGAGGAATAGAAGTTGAAAAAGAGTAACAGAGGGGATGAAGATGGTCAAAGTCCATTATATGCATGTGTGTGAGTATCACAATGAAATCTCTTTGTGCAATTAATTTATGCTATTTTTAAAATTTGGGGAAAAAAATACCTTGATTTTCATCAGGTCAGAATGAATGGAAGGAAAGATGAACCAGCAGCCCCAGGAGTGGGAAAGCCACCAAAAACATATTTTAAAGCCGTAGTGGACGAGAAAGTGTAGGTTAGTGAGGGACTTCTCACACTGCTGTGTATAAACTGATACTTTGAATATGAATAATTAATGCTTTTTAAATAATGAAGTTCATAAAATTGAGAGGGAAAAGGAATTGCTGGAAATATAAATCTCTTCACATTGAACGCTAAGATAATTGTCTTTGATTCCTTTCCCTTTTTGATATTCTCTTCTACAAAGATACCTCTTTTTTGATCTGCACTGAGTCTTTTATTCAAAAAATTCCTTTTTAAAATAACTGCTCTGCCAGTAATGAATTTCCTTCTCTAACTGAAGTGATTTCTTCCTTTAAAAGCACAATGTTAGTCAGCTATTTGCTACAACGGAGTCCTGTGAGCAAATCTTTTTCCCTTAGAATCATGCTTTTATAGAACATGGAGTGGAATCAGTGCTGATGGCTGTCATCTTTTTAGGCAGGGTGTTTCAATATTCTGTTTTGAAAAGGAGTGTTAATGCTGGCTTATCTCTATATTGTGCAGTAATACTGGTCACTAATCTTGCCATTAGCAAGATTAGCAATAATCTTGCACTTATTGCACTTATTGCACTTAGCAATAAGTTTTACTAAAAATTAGCTAATATGAAGTATTTCTGAATACACCAAGTTACCTTACCTTTGTGGGTGTCATGTGAGCTGAGAATGAAGATAAAGGGGTAAGGTTCTTATGATATAAAGAACGGCTACAACCAAAAAGATGAAGACCAATTCCCACAAACAAGTACTTCATAGAAAAATAAATACAAAAGATTCTTGACCATAACGAAAAATTGTCCAACATCATAAAGACAATAAAACTCAAAGATATAATTTCCACTGCAGATATGCCAGGTTGGAAAGGATGAAAGAAACAGGCATTGTCACATATCAGTGGTAAGCAGGTAAATTAGAAAATGTCTTGGAGGGACTATTTTTCAATAGTTTTCCATATAAAAAATGTACACATTTCAACTGACTAATTCAACTATTTAGGAATATATGAGTGTACACATATGCATATATGCACGTATGTTCACATGGATTTTGTGTGTGCAAACACATGCACACATATATATATTGATATGCATTAATATGTTCCCATATTTACGACATGATGTTCAGTATAGCATTGTTTGCAATAGCATAAGAAATTCAGACACCACTTACACCTTCATCAGTTGGTGAAATAAACTCTGATTTCTCAATGAATTTCTGTGCATCCCTTAAAAAGAATGAAACAGCGTAATCTGTAGTGCTATGGAAACACTGTGAAATATACTAATACTGAGGTAAAAAATAAGCAGAGCAGTGAGTAAACAATGTCATCATTTATGACTTTAACTATGTCTTACGTGTTTATACATCCATAAAATACATATAGGAAGAATATGCCTGAGAGCAGTGGCTGCTTCCATGAAGGGGAGTGGGATAGATGGGAACTAGAGAAAAAAGGAAATATTCTTCCCTGTTACCTTCTTCTGTCTCTTAATTTTTTTGGCTCTGTCCATGTATTACCTCCTCAACTATGAAAAATAATTTTACAAACAAAGCAGATGGAGATAACATGAAGCGTATTGTATTTTCTGCATTTCCAGGAACCAATTGCGGTTTCTTCTCATGTCGTGACCATCTCCAGCCTCCTTCCTGCCACAGCCTACAACTGTAGCGTCACCAGCTTCAGCCATGACAGCCCCAGCATTCCCACATTCATAGCTGTCTCGACAATGGGTAATTATATACGTTCCTGGAATCTAACCTTTGAACATTATTTCTTCCATATTTTCCTTAATTTTCCCTTTTAAATATACATGTTCTATCCTTTTAGTGTAATAAGTGTTCCATTGAAAATATTCCAAACTGTGGGGTCAGGGAATTCTTAATGTCATTCCCAAAGTGAATTTATTAGAAATGTGACTTAGGGATAGATATGTGTTGTCTCTGAGCCTTTTAAAATCTGTATTATTATAATAATGCACACATTTTAGTTTGTGTTGAAACTTAGAAGTAAAATACAGAAAGCGCTAGAATATGTTGCTACATGCAAGTTGCTACCACCAACATCATCGTCACCATTATCCTCATTGTCAGTGCCATGATCAACTAAGTTTCATCTGTTAGCCTTGGTTCTTGTTGCTGATCAAAAAGTGGCAAAAGTGAATTTCTAGATCAAAGCAAGAAAGTTTCTAATCCAGCAGGAAGCGCCAATGAGAAAATTAGAAGTCAATGAAGTATCTAGAATGTTTGCCTCCTTATCTTTTTCTCAGTTGTATCATGCATGCTATTCCCTGTGAGAGTCTCATTTCCCAAGCTGGGATCCTCTATTAAGCCCCATGTAATACAATCACTCTTTCTAGCACACAATTCCTTTACTGGCTTCCTTTTTTATTTCTGTACTATTACTCATATATATTTAGCTGTTAGAGTGAGTGATAACTGCCATGGGCTTTTTTGGCTTTCAGGTTTTATTTCATTTTGCTTCAGAAGATAGGGCAAAATATTTCAATGGTGTTTCATCTCTAATCTAGTTGTACTTTTCTAAGTATATTTTAATGTCAGTTACTCCTTGTCATCTGCTCTGGGACCTAGAACAGCAAGTGATTTCACTAGGAAGGCCTGTCTGCAAGTAAGAAAAATGAGGCACAGAAAGGTAGGTGATGTAGCTTCCCCAAGTGGCAGCCAGCAGGCATGTGAGCTTGGTTAAACTCTTCTGACCAAGAGTTGAATGTTCTTTTTGTCCAAGTACTCAGTCCACAAACTGAAGGTAGCCCAAGTGAGAAGCCTCAAATACCCAAAGCCTCAGGGATCCATTCTAGGATTGCTTTTATCAGAGTCTCCTCTGGCCCACTTTGAAGAGCTTTATAAAGATATTTATCATACGTCCCTGCCTTTGACATCCTGCTTGTGCATGTAGTGTGAGGAGGTAGGTAACATGTAAGTGCTGTAGAAGACCGGTCGCTATTTAAAGTACATGTAAGCCACACAACCCCTGTTTCTAAGGACCCTCCAAGTAGCTTTCGTCTCTAGAGTTGTGCAGATGGAAAATGCTAAACATATGGCTACAGATTGTCAGGATGCCTGCTTCTCGTAGTGCATGAAGTGCTACAGCAGATGGGAGCGCACTGCTGCCTTTCTCATATACATTATTAGTTGTAAGCAAAGTATGCAGAGGGGCTTTTCTGGCTTCAAAGTCATGGGCATAAAATTAGAAGCTGCCACCCTGTAAACGTTCAAAAATGTTCATGATAATACATGGTAATGACTTTTAGATTTTAATTTTCTAATAAGTTTAACCTACAGCGTACCACTCTTCACATTTTATAATTGCTCTTTATAAGAACATCCTGTGTGTTGTAGGTCTTTGAAACATATGCAGTTCTTCCAGGTATGTGAACACTGTTTGTTAGTCTCTTATTTACAGATGAGGACACAGTCACTGTTGGCTTGGAGGAACATGGTTGTTACCGTGATTGTCATCATGATAAATTCTGCTCTTGTGATTTGATGAAAGCAATAAATGGTTTCTCTTAGCTTCCAGTATAGTGGAACCTGTAAGGACAACGTATGACTTCTCTCTTCAGTTACAGAGATGAATCCTAATGTGGTGGTAATCTCAGTGCTGGCCATCCTCAGCACACTTTTAATTGGACTTCTGCTTGTTACCCTTGTCATTCTTAGGAGAAAGCATCTCCAAATGGCTAGGTAAGAGAAGCTTTGTTAATGTTTTATCCAGCATCTTAAAAATATTTTATTTTTATGTGTATAACTTTTGTACAGTGGTACATTTGATCTCAGTTATGAGTGTCTCTTTCTACTTTATATGTTTTCTAAGTAAATATTTACATAATTACATTAGAAAATATTGGTATTTAAATGGTAAACCAAAAGATTGCTTGTTTCCAAAAAGCCAGACCTCTTGCTATCAATCCTGACATTTTGACTAAGGTAGAAAGGAGAAAAATAGAGGGGATGAACAATTTGGTTATAATACAAATAACATGGATACATATGTCACAATGAAACTCCTTGTATAACTATCTTAAACAAACAAAAAGTGTCTTTTTTTTCAAAATCAGAGAACAGGAAGGCAAAAATAGGCCCTGTCTAAGGAGGTTGGTGCCTGTGGTAGAGGGAGGAGGGTATAGGAACATGAATATGGTAGAAATATTATGTTCACATGTGTGTTAATGGAAAAATGAGACCAGGTGAAACTATTCCAGGAATGGGGGAAGGGAGGATAAAGGAGAATGATGGAGGGTAGTTCAACTATGATATATTGTAAGAACTTTTGTAAAGTCACAATGTACCCCCAATATAATAATAAAAAAAGAAACTAACATTTTATGAAGCTCATTCAGACATGTTTAGAGTAAAAGAATAATCCATATCTGTTTCATATGATTAATGAAAGGCATTAGTAGAAATGGAAGCCACAAGAATAGGAAGAAAAATCTTCTCACTCTTCTGTTGTCTTATCAGAAAATATTTGTAGCCTAGTGGCTCAAGCCTGGAATGCTAACTACTCAGGAGACTGAGATCAGGATCATAGTTGGAGGCCAAGTGGAGCAAAAAGCTCATGAGATCCCATCTTAACCAATAAAAGGCTGGGGTGGCTGCACATGCCTGTCATCCTAGCTACGCAGGAAGCATAAATAGGAGGATTGTTGTCTCTGCCAGCCCAGGCCTAAATGCAAGGCCCTATTAGAAAAATAACTAAAGCATAAAGGGCTGGAGGTGTGGTTCAAGTGCTAGAGCACCTGCCTAGCAAATGTGAGCCCTCAGGTTTAAACCCTGTACCACCAAGGGAAAAAAATGTAGAGTTTATAATTAGTTCCACTAGAGGTGTCTTACTAGTTCCATTCTGATAACTCCGGGTTGCATCCAGGTTAATTTTTCTTATAATTAGAGAAGACCCTCTGCCCCTTTTTTCAGGTGTTGGGGACAGGACTCAAGGCCTTGCACATGCTAGGCAAGTACCTACCACTGAGCTAGAAAAGCCTTTTATTGTGGTATTTCCCTATTCTTTTGACCACTGATGCCTTGCTTCTTTGAGCACCACTGGGGTGGGAAATTTGGCTTAAATTTATATTTGTCCAGTTTTAGCATACTGAATTGCAAATCAATATCCTTTTCCTTTCTTGGAGTTCTATCATTCACACATTCATAAATAAATGAGTCCATTCCCATAGTGATTTAATCAGAATTATAGAGCATATTCAAAGGAAAGCCAGACTTCCAAGCTGCCCAGGAGGAACTCATAATTTAGCTAGAGATATGCACATGGATATTTAAAGGTATAAGCTGATCTGGAATGCAAATGAAATGAAAATGGAAAGCCATAAAAGTAGAAAAGATGGTTGATTTTAAACATGAAAATCGGCTTCATCAGGGTTAACACTTGAATGCATCTCAGAACAGTAAGGAGGAGCTGCTATTACACTATGGCTGGAGTGTGGAACTCTGAAATTGCTTTCCTCAAGGTCAGTCCTTGATTTATGATCTGATCTGTCTGAGCTTGAACAATCATCAAATCTTTATTCATTCTTTTAACAAGTATGACCTGACTCCTGCCATGTGTCAGACCTCTCTGGTTACTGGGGGTATAGCAATATATGGTACTGCCAAAAATTTACCCTTCAAGGAGCCCATATTCCATGGGAAGATAGACAGTAAAAACAAAGATGTAGATAACACCACTGCATGGTATGTTAGCAGGTTACAAAAGCAAATAATGAGGAAGAGTAAGGGATAGTAGCAGTATGAGCATGGGGAGAGGAGGCCTGGGAGGTGTGTAGGTTTCATTGACAGAGTGACATTTTTAAGCAAAGACTTGAATAAAATATGAAAGAATTAGCCTTGTGTTATCTATGGGAAGAGTGTGCCCAGTAGCAAGAGTAGCCAGTGCAAAGGCCCTGGGGAAGAAGCATTAGCATATTCAAAGACTAGCAGAAAGGACAGTCCAACTAAAGCAGAGGAGACAAAGGGAAGAATAACAGGTGATGTCAGATCATAAAGGACCTCAGCTTTTACTCTGAATACTGTGGTCAGCCATAGCAGAGTTTGGGGCCCTAAGCCTAACACATCTGACTCATATTTTAATACTTTCATTTTGGCTTACACAGAAAACAGGCTTATAAAGGCAAGGAAAAAGCTGGGGGAGTTGTTGCAGTATTGTCATGTAGCTGGGATTGTAGGCGTGAGCCACTGGCAACTGGCCTCCAAACTTCTTCTACTCTATGAACTATAATCCCACAAACGAAATGCTATTAGTTGGGATGTGTCCACATTATCGTAGGTCAAAGCGATAGAGCTGATAGTCACCACAAAAAAGCACCATAATAAAACGCGCGCTGGGCGCCAGTGGCTCATGCCTAGAATCTTGGCTACTCGGAGGGCAGAGATCAGGAGGATTGTGTTACAAGGCCATCTCTGGGCAAATAGTTCCTGAGACCTTATCTCGAAAATACCCAACACAAAAATGGGCTGGTAGGGTGGTTCAAGTAAGAGAGCTTGCCTAACAAGTGTGAGATCCTGAATTCAAACCCTAATACCACTAAAAAATAAATAAATAAATAAAACGCAAAAAAAGAAGACATGACAACAGTTCAGCCCTGAGTAGTAGCAGTGACAGTGGGAGAAGTGACCAGATTGTGGATTTGCTAACTAATTGAATGTAGGTTGGAAGTATACGAAGGAATCAAGGATAACCACAGGTTGCCATCAGTCTGAGAGAAAACTCCAGTTTCAAAGAGGACCTGGAGATGTTAAGAGAGAAAAAGTTTGGCGGAAGTAAACAACCCAACATGGTCCACTGTTGTTATTAGTTGGACATCAAAGTACTGTAAAACAAAACCCGACAGAAATTTTTTTTGCTAAAAATGGAAACTCCTCAGTTTATGTAGGAGAGTTTTTAATACCTTACTAATGAAGACTTTGTGAAAAATATTATGCCCAAAAATGGAAAGGTATTTATTTTAGGATCGTGAATGTCCTCTGGCAAAGATGATGAGCTGAATCCTTTGGACTCAAATAGTTTGTTCTGCAACATTACAAAAGACTGATTTTGTTTTTCTGCTTTGCATTGCTTGCAAAAAGAGGAAAACAGAACTTACATTGCCTTTCTGCTTTTTAATTTGATGCTGTCATGATGAGCCTGTAGCAGATCTTTCTACTTTCACATCAGGTAAAGAGTGCTTCATCCAGCGGTAACCTTGATTCTGCGGTTTCTTTCAAACAGGGAGTGCGGAGCAGGGACCTTTGTCAATTTTGCCTCCTTGGAGCGGGATGGAAAACTTCCCTATAATTGGTGAGTATTGTTTTGGGACAAGCCTCTGGAGAGCTTAGCTTTGCTGTGTGCTCCAAACTTGAGTGTACAATCTTTAGGCGATAAATAACTTTCTCTTCTTGTCCTTTCATAGTGTCAGTGACCGTGAACTTACAAAGGCAAGGTCTTCACAGGATATACTGGTTTCTGTAAGCTTGATACAGTTCCAAAGTAGAAAAAGTGCCCTAGTCTGCTCTATATTGCTTTATTGAACAAAGGGCTGGAACAGTTGTGCAAGGAGCCCGTTGCTATGCCAAAGGCCACACATAGGAGTCACACTGTGCAAGGGGAAAACAGAGGCCCCAGGGGAGACTGCACCAGAGCTGCAGAAGACAGAGCAGCGTCTCCACTGAGGATGTGCATCTCAGTGCTTAGGGATGTAAGCCACCACTTCTGCTCAAAATCCGGTGGAAGTGTGCAGTCCAAGGACTCTCAACTCTTATCCAGATTAATAAGTATCAAAGCCAAAGACGTACTGTAAGAAAACATGGCCTCAATGTTTTCTTATGATTGAGTATTAAGAACCTAGTAGGAGGCCAGCTACTCCAGAGGCAGAGACAGGAGGACCATGGTTTGAGCCAGTCTGGGAGAAAGATTAGCAAGGTCCTCTCTCAACAAATAAACCAGGGTGTAACCATGCATGTTTGTAATCTCAGCTTCTTGGGAAGCAGAGGGAGGAGGAGCACAGTCTGAGGCCACACTAGGCAAAAGAGTGAGACCCAATCTGAATCATAACTAAAAGCAAATAGAACTTGGGGCATGACTCAGTGGTATAGCACCTGTCTAGAAAGCACAAGACCCTGAGTCCATTCCCCAGTACTGCCAATAAAAAAAAGAAAAAGAACAAGAACCTAGAAGGAGGAGATGTTTGCAAAGTTAAAAAGCATTATCAAGAGATTGAATTGGTTTCCATTATACCTAACCATAATGAGTGAGAATTATCAGCTCTATCTAATTCAACCAATACCCAATAACTTCACTAATTAAGTAAACATTCCACTTGAAACCAGCACTTCCCACATGATCTAATTTGTTTCTGTTGCAAGCAACCATACAAAGTATATTTAAGTACACTGATTTCATATTAATTTCATAAGTGATTTTTTCTATCTTCTAGCCCCCCTCCCAAAAAATAGTTAATCTTAAAGAACTATACATGGGAGATCAGAAAGTTTACTGTAGAAAGACAATGAGGGAGGGAGGACTTTATATAAAATACAGGTTCTACCTCCCTTAGTGTACGTGATGCCTACTCTAGGTGAAAATCTAATTGAAGCAGGATTCTTTTCAGCAAGACAATTTCATGTAGTTTTTAAATTTGAACATGAATATAATTTTGATATTAATAAAGAGAACCTTATAAATCCTCGATGGTTAAAATTTAGGAAACATTACTAGGTTTTGTTCAAATATATTAGCACATTTCCCAAGATTAAGAGATTTATTCACTGTTTCCTGCCTGACTTGCCCTTAAAAAATTCTTGTCCCAAGAGCAGTGACGTATGGCCTTCTAGGAACTGACTCAATTTTACTTGTCACCTAGGAGAGCTCTGTACTGACTGACTCCATATCCAGACACAATTTGTAAAATTTATGGAAGACCAGTTTGGGGAGACCTGAAGCAAAAGAGAAGTCACTTTAGGACCTTTCTATAAAATCAAGCAAATTCTCCTGCAGCTCTTTGTGAAGACAGTTTTGCCACAAGTAGCATTTTCTGGCTGTCTGAGAATAGACATCTCAGTGGGGATTTGTCATAACTAAAGTGACAAGGCAACAGCATTCCTTCCTCTAATTCTGAGAATAACTATAGATGCAGCCACAGGAGATTGTTACATTTACAAGAATAACTGTTCAGAATTAGAAGTGGTTTAAGTCTCTGACAGTGGATTCCAACCAAACATTTTTAAATCAAGATTCTGAATTAGAATTAAAGTGAAACTAAATTTCTGTCCACTCTATTGTGTATCAGTGAGGTTATAGACCAGGCAATTGATGAGCAGTTCATTTTGAGTGAATAATACATATTTCATATCATAGGTTTGTTTTAAAGACTATTTTTTAGAAATTTAATGCCAATTTAAACTAACAACAATATAGAAAGTCACAGCTTGGTAAGGATGTGACTCTAATGTTCAGTTTTCCCTAGAATCAGTGTAAATAACCTGACCACTTATATCTCCACACTAGCTGCTGTTTAGGTATCAAATATAGTATAGAGGTTTCTTAAAATAGGTTTCCGGGTACTTTCTAAGAGTAAGACTTTTAAGAACCTCATTAAAATGAATGCAAAATGTAATCACCTAATAGCAGACTAATTGTCACAAAATAAGTTGGAAGAAATGCATCTGATTATAATGAGGTCTTGTGTGAAGATAAACTGATTTCGTCAATACTGTAGCATTTAAGCCCTCACGTTTAAATTCTACAGAATGGAATGATGTTAAGATTGTAATTAAGGTGCTTTTCAGATGAACTGATCGTGGTGGGTAATTTAGTGATACCTGTTCATAGTTGGTTTTACTAACTCTTGCCACTGCTTCATCTTTACATCTGTTATTTATTAATGCTCACAGGCGTAGGAGTCTATTTGCTTTCTTAACCCTGCTACCTTCATGTCTTTGGACTGATTATCTTTTGGCATTTTATATTAATCCTTGGTAAGTGATTTTTTTATTGTTTACCTAACCCAGTCTTTAAAAGTTAGCTGTAAAAAGTAAACAAATGGACAGTTTTTCTTTTTAATTGTTTTATGTGTTTGGAGCATCTAAAATTATTAATCATGGCTGGAAATACATTAAAGCTATTGGTGGTACCAGGATGCCCTTGATGGTTTCCCAATTAAATTTTTCTCTTGTGATATTCTTGGCAAGTTTCTCTTTCATTTGTTACCAGTTATTTCTTTCTTCATTGAGTCCATCCATTGGCTTCCCATTTTAATTGATGAGACTTTGTTTTTCCTTCCCATCTTCATACATTAGATTCAGGAAGGCAGAAAAACCAGAGTCCATATTCTGTATTTGGGGACTTCCTTGTTTTTATAATAATTAACTCACTGGCTAGTAGAATAGTTGACTATGTGCAAACCTCTTCATGTAATTAACTCACTTAATCTGCCCCACAATTCTGCAAAGAGTATTACTGTCCCCTTAAAGATGTGAAAAGACAGTTTTTAAGAGATTAACTGTCTTAATGTCATATACCACCACACAAGAAATCCAGGTTCCAAACCCAGAAAATCTATTCTTACCACTGTAAAAATGCAACTTCTTTTTATTTGTTATTTTCTTGACTTCCAAGTCATTGTAGTGAGTCTTGAAATGCATCATTTTTGGGTTTCTAATATGTAATAATAATAACAACAACCTGGAATTCTGAGACTGAAGAATCTAGAATGATGATTTATTTTTCCTAAGTCATAAGAGAAATGGTTATCAGCTAACCAGGGAAATAACAGAAAAAGCCACTGTTCTTAAATAATACTATATGGTTTTTAGGTAGTAAATTACGAAATGATCCAGGATGTAGACAACTTGAGATGGACCCAAAACAAAGCAATAACGGCTGATAGATTAACTGAAGTCATAGAGTGCCTGCCTCGCAATTGTGAAGCCCTGAGTTCATCCCCAGCACTGCACACACACACACACACACACACACACACACCACAATAAAGATATCTCATGGACTGGAAAAATGGCCCATGGGGCTTTAGGAGCTGTGAAAACCAACCTGTAGAGTTCTCATTCAAAAAGGCAGTTGCTCAAATGTTCTTCCACTCCTCTGAAAACAGACTAAATATAGGTGGCAGAATTTAGGATTCCAAGTTGCGCTGGACAAAATATCAAAGAAGACTTCCTCAAAATAAGTATTGCTAATACCTGAGTATGTATCTTATTTAAAAAGAAAAAGTAACTATAGGAAAGTTTCTGAAATGAGGTCACCGAGGATCTATATATAAGAAACTCAGAGGTGCATGCTGGGTGAAAGACCATTCCCTGTGATTCTGAATGTTGTTTTAGTTTTCAGTGTAGGAGTTCATTATAACCAACTCAGTGTTTTCGGTATTTAGCATCCGTTTTTAGGTATGAGTAGTACACATCAGTTCCATCTTGACCTTCAAAATATAAATTGATTTTTAAGTAAACAAGGATTCTCCCTATCATTAGAATACTTGTAATGAATGTCCTTAAAACCAAAGTACATTGTGCATAATCTTACATTCATTTTCCCACCTCATTCTTTCAGACTTTCTCATTTGCCACAGGTCATTTTTAAACTTCTATCAGGCAGGCCTGTGCTTATTTGCATGTCTTTCTTAAAGCTCTGCTAATGAACACATCTTTGAATTGCAGCAACCCTTTTAAGGTCTGTTATTGACAGTATTGACTGCATAGAAAAAGTTAGGATGGCTTAAAAGCCTTTTCTGTAGTTTTTTGTAGAATTATAAAAGATTTTAGAAGACTGTAAATGGTTATCTCCAGGTGAGAAGAGAAAGCAATACGTAGAGCCCCATGCCTCTTGTCACTTTCAGAAAATTTCACACATATCAACCAGTGAAAATAGACTGAATGTAAATGATGTTCTCAGCTCTAAGCTTGTGCTATGTCAGCTACAATAGAAAAATTCACAGCTCCTGCCCTTCTGGTACAGCTCAGTAGTCACACAATCACTCAAATTCATCTCATAACCATGTATAGTTTCCTCTGCTTTTGTTTGCTAAATGGTCCTTCTGAATTCTCCTTCAGATGTCTTTGTCTTCATATGTCACCTCGCCTGCTAACAACAGCCACAAATAACAGAGCCAGGTCTCATGTCCTAACACACTGTCCAAATTCCTCTCAAAATTACCATTTCTTGGATAATTTTTTTAGGGTTTCTACAACTTTCCTTATGCTTCTGAAGGTTTGAGTAGAAATCAAGAGACTCTGTCAGACAGTCTTACTCAAATCTCTCCCAGGATGGTAGCAGAATCAGCACACAGTACCAATGCCCAGTTAGATTGTCTGAGGATTAGATTCTATGAGGATTTCTAGTTTTAATCACCTTACACCTGTTTCCTTTTGAAGGAATCACCAGCTCTATCTACATTTAATGTGTTTTTTTAACTACCACAGCCACTATCATGCTATACGTAAAACATTCATCTTCCCATTCTAACTCCTAAATGGTTGGCATTTTAAGCATTAAGCAATGTTGAGTTTCAAGGATGGAGGATGATACAAACTAAAGATTTATTGTAAAAAATTTTACAATGATTTCTGTTGGCTCAGGAAGGAGTAAGTAGCACCTATGAATCTGAAAACTTGGAGAGTTTTGTTTTGTCTAACCACTATAAATTCCACACCTTTGATGTTGCATCCTATTCTTTGGAATGAACTTCACTGTGACCTGCCTTCTGACACTGTCAGAGCCATTAAAAGAAAAAACAAAACTTAAGAAGAATGCACCTTACTTTCTTAATGTCATTAGGGTTTTGAGCCTTACCTTATATATAAATAAAGAGAAAGCATACAATCCTGTATGTGTATGTATACCATATTTCTGATGTGTGATCTTTATTGGTTATTTAGAAAGCCTTTTGCAATGAAAAAGCAATAGCGTAAACTTCACCCAAAACTTTTACAATCACTTGCATACACAGAAGCTCTCCACATAACATGAACTTAAAATTGCTAGTGAAGCCTTAACCTACATGTTCACAAGTAAGCTTTCCCCTCATTTTGGTCTTGCGATTAGTATAGCAACTAAAAATGTAGGGAAACTCTGTTGGTATTTCAGAGGAGCCTCATAATCATTATTCCTAGTCTTCAGATAGAGGAATACTTCAAAAGTTAGCAAAATCTAAATAGTACAATGAAAGTTGTACACAAATCGTGAAGAAAGACATTTTGTGGAAGTATACTCTGCAAAATATCTGGTAGAATTTTGCATTACACTGAAAGTTCACTCAATAATGAATGAGATGGGAAGGTTAAATGTGTCTCTTCTCCATGAATCAGTTTTCTACGCAGCTGTTGGCTAGGACCAGCTTAATATTTCAACATTAAATTTATTCAGTGTTGCCCTCTTACATACATTTGTTTGTTCTTAGTTTCCCTGAAAGTCTGTGTAGTAGGAAAGCATTTTTTTTGTTCACTCCCAATGTCAGAATATGTTGGCAGCCTCCTGACTCTACCCTGCTGTTAGCCATCTCTGCTGACACTCTGCTTCCTTGGAGCACTAAAGTATTTGGCTGTTACTATAGAAATGAAATAGGGGATTCCTAAAATTAACTAAATTACTGTCACAAGAGCTGAATACAAAGATCTGTAGACAGTTCTTTAGGTTCCCTCATGCCTAAATGACAAAACTATGCCCAATAGTTCAGTGATTTTTTTGAAAGAATGAGAGAGAATATTTATTTCTTCCAAATCCAAGGATTGAAGAAAGAGAGGATAAGGGAGAAAACAGGAAAGGAGCTGTCCGATTGTCTTTATCTAGAAGTGGGAAGAAATAAAAACTACCTGAAAAGCAGGAACACCAACTTACCTTTTTGGATGTGTCCCTGCAATTTCTGACTACATGACTTCCTCTCTATCCACAAGCTTCAGTCCAACCAGGACCTCACAAGACCAAGTCTAACAACAAATTCTTAATTGAATCACTCTGTGAAATTGTGAGGGTAACATGGCAAAGATGTTTTGTTTCATTTGAATCTAATAAGCATTTATTGGTCATCCACTGTGTTCCATGAACTGTGCCAAGTCCTGGGGGTAGAAAATAGGGTGTACTTGCTGTGAAAAATGTGCCCTTGCAAAGTGCTGTGAGAGCACAGAGAATGAAATGTTTCATTCCTCTAAAGACTTTCAGGGAGTGGAGGGATCCAGACATTCACAAGTTTAAGTATATATAAATATTTTGGTACATGAAGGTACTGACCTTTTGCCTGGTTATTTGCTATTCATGCTTATTTTCTGAAAACTTGAGTGCTTCTATAAAAATATTTAAAGACCATTGAAAATTACTTATAACAAATGTTCACTCTCATATCATTCATATACTAAAATATGTTTTAATACTTACTGTTTTTATAAGACAATAAAATACAATAATGAAGTGTTTCAATAGCCATAATCAAAGCATGGGGTAATTTTGTTTAGTTATTTTACCTCTTATATGAAAACAATTATCCTAAAAGCCCTAAACAAATATAATTAACAAAGAATACATTTGCATTTCCTGTGTTTGAGTTTATATGCTATTAATTAATTAAGAAGCATGCAATAGTTACAATTCTTCAGATAGCTTAAAACCTAGTTCAAAAGAATAAGAACAGTGCCATGGGAGAATTTATAAGGTACATGCCCACACTGATAGCACAAATTATTCACATTGCCTATGAAAATATCAGAAAAGTTTATTTTTGTCTTTAAGAAATCAAGATTTACCTTCTCTACCTTAGCTTCCTCTTTTATTCCTCAATTCTTTCTTCTTGCCTGCAAAATATAGTAATCAGGTAGTAGGTAGTTTAATATATTTACTAAATAGTTTAGCAGCTTAATAATCAGGAGCTATAAACTGTATTTCTAGAACTCAGTTTTTGGCAGATGTGAAATACAAAGTGCAGGTATGTTCCTGAACTCTATTGAGTTTTTTTTTTTAATTAACTGGAAGTTATTATCATTTTCTCCTCATTTAAGCAAAAGTAATTTAACAAACCTGAGGTCTGTTTAATGAAAATTAAATAAAACTGAGGTGCCTAATGTAATTATTTAAAGTTCTCCAAGTTTAATCATTATTTTAACCAATTCTTTTACCCAAATAATTTGTCTCTTTTTTCTCATTCTCAGGAGTAAAAATGGTTTAAAGAAGAGGAAACTGACTAAGTAAGTTTGTCTTTATTTTTAAACAATTTTCATCATAATGATCTTAACTCTCCAAAGTAAAAATGATTACTTTTGACTTCAACTAGAAGGGATGCTTAAGAAGAGGTGAGAGTGTATCATGATAGCTTCGCACAGTACGTGTTGGTGTTTGTTCATATGGATGGAAGTTTACCACACAAAACATGATCAATAAGAACAATCCTTACCACGTGAAATAGAAAGAATGGGTTGTTAGGAATTGTGAAAGTGTTGTAGGAGGACACGTGGAATTCTAAATATATGAAAATCTAATGTTAACTGCATCAAAGGTGAAATTGCTTTGAAATTCTGTGTTTAATTAAAGAAAGGCTTTTGCTCTATTTGATGTTATAATTAATATTTTGATAATGCTGTCTCAGAAAACCTTTATAATAAATAGGAAACACAAGTATTCTAGCTAGCCTGTGGTCTTACTTACCTACTGAACTGTTAAGTCATGAGAATTATGATTCTGGTGAATGAAAACTAACCAAGGGCTGACTTCAAAAGCCTATTAGAATATCACCTCCAGGCCTTTTTATAAATAGAGTTCATTCCTGATATTTACCCACCACAGAACATTAGTATAAGGAATAAATTAAGGGGTGCATCCAGGTCTATGATATCTGTATGAATGGGGAAAAATCCTGTAGCATTCTAATGTATAATCCAAAAGAAAAGTTAATGTAAAAATATTTTTATTTATCCTCAAGTGACATAATTTTATGAAACATAGATATGAGATAATTTCAAATCAGTATGCATTCCATTGACTTACACCAACTGGCATAGGAGAGAGACCAGCCTAACTGGAAGAAACTGTCACCTGGAAGGACAGATTTGACAGAAATAGGAAGATATTTTTTGCCCAAAACTATTGATTGGGTTGTTAAGTGAACTAGAGAGGTAATAACTAGAGCCAGGGAACAGGGTCTTAGGACAGAATGGGGAGACTCTCAGAGCTTGGTTCTCCCAACACCCAGGCAGAAATAAGAGGGAGAAGCAAGAACTGAACAGAAGATTTGGTCAAGAAGATTTGGTAAAAATGCTAAAATCTGTTCACAAACCAAAAACCACACATGCATCCAATTTCCTCCTTCCTATTCTAACCATGGGCTTTTGAAGTCAGCCCTTGGTTAGTTTTCATTCACCAAAATCATAATTCTTATGACTTAACAGTTCAATAGGCAAGTAAGACCACAGGGATAGACATCCTTCCATTTCTATAAGCCGTTTCTTGAGAGGCCTCCCCCTTCTCCCACTTGCCCTCTCTTTCTTTTCGTCCAAATGCCCCAACACCACCACAGGCCCCTGGATTCCATCCCACCCCACTTTTTTTAATCTCAACACTTATTTTCATTCCACCACTCTTTGCCTTCACCTTCCCTTTCCTTCTAAATGTGTTACTGTTCTCTCTTCTCCCTCCCAGCCTTCCTTCTCCTTTCTCATAGATATTCACACATGTTCATTCTTCTATTTCCTGGTCCTTCTTTCTACCTCTTCTCTCTGCTTCTTGGTTTGCTTTTTCCCCCTCCAGAAACAATTTCTCTGATTTGCCTTCCCTTCTCTCATCTCTGATTTTACCTCACATTTTCCTAATAACAAGATGAAGTCTAGAAGTGTTAAATCCAACTTTGAAGTCAATGCTCTGCTCAATGACAACAGCCACTGAGTGTAGTTCTAATGGAGTGCAAGCCAGGACAGAGACCCCACCCCCTTTAGCCATTCCTTTGGAATGGGAAAATCTTTGAACCAGGTTCACTGTCTCTGGGGTCTAATCAGGGTTCTATTACTTAGTGGCCCTACAACATTGGGCTCCTCACTTACCTCCCTTCACTTTGGCTCTTCCATTGGGAGCCAGGGCTAATGCTGTCCTTGTCTGCCTCAGAGATCAAGGTAACAAATGTGAATCTTTAGAAATACAATGTGTTTTAGGAGTGTAAATCATTATTGTGATCGTCACTAAGCACACACATTGAAGTTTAATGTAGTACCTGTGAGATTTAATGCCCTTTAAAATTTCCTAAAATCTTTATATAAAATAACATACCAGATTATCTAATTAGTAACTTTAAATGTCTATTACATACTATGTATTTACTAATAAGACATAAGGCCACACATAGATGATATAAACTGAATAATATGTCCAGAGACTAAGTGAAAGGTCAAAGGGCATAGGTTAGAATATGGCATTCTGCAGAAGCAAAAAACAGTTGGCATAGGTGGGTTCTAAAAGATAAAAACAGCTGCCCAAAACTACAGACAATAAATCTGATTCTTATTCACCAACAAAATAAAAATGAGAAATTCTGCTGCAGATAGAGAAGCATAAGCTTGGATATGTTACTTGATTGTACCTCTGAATAATTTCAATACTTTTATAGATAGGTAAGTCTCTAAATATGGGTCTCTCAGGTGAGACCTTGGGAGCTTTCCAAGCAAGTGCTTCAGTCCACTGACCTAGGAGTGCCATAGCTAGTGGCATGATTCCTTACACTGTATAAACTTGCGAGTTTCTTTATATACTATGTCAACCTTGTGGCAGGAATGACTTTATGAATCACAATAACAATTATCTAAAGAGTGATTCTTCAGAATCACATTGTAAATAGGAAATGTCAACCGTAACTCAAGCAAGTCTTTTGAACCTGATTCTTTGTTCTTTCCCATATGCCAGACATTTCTAGAAACAGCTCTTATAAAATTACATAGAAGAATAGACATGGATGTAATATTTTATTGCTAAAATTAGAGCCAACTATAAATCTAGAAATTTCATCTATCTCCAGAAAGTTTGATATATTTTTAATTGCAATATATTAGAAACTGGTAACTTCAAAATAAAATAACAATGAGTGTAACCTATGAGAAGTAAAATTCCCATTTCCCCCAAGAAAAGTGTACATTTTTTAGAAGGGTGGTGCTAAATAATATATATTGCCTATGACCAGGATTTTTTAAACATGTACTTCTTTGTGTTTGACAAAGCCCAGTTCAACTGGATGACTTTGATTCCTACATCAAGGACATGGCCAAAGACTCTGACTATAAATTTTCTCTTCAATTTGAGGTGAGTTGGATGAAGCATTTTCTACCTTAAGTACTGGGAAGGGCATGGTAATGGTTGAGTAGGGAAACAATCATCTCCCTGCTCACTGGGTGCTGGTTGCAATGTGGTTGCACAATAAGCAAGACAGGTAGTTAATGGCCTTGGGGCGCCTTACCTGTTGGTTCAGAGGATAGGTTAGCAACCTTTGTCTGATAGGCCAGAGTTCAGATGGTGAAATGAAGGGAAAGAGTACAGATGCAGGTTTGGAGGTCAGCAAACACAGGAAATTGATAGTATGAGATTGAGTTCTCTTTCACAGATCTTTTAATGTGCTTCTCGTGTGCCTTAGGCCATGGTAAAGATAAGAGTGGGTGATGAACCATTCTGACTTCCTTTGTCGTCTGAGCATTTAACTGCCCAGATTAGGGAGACCCTAAACTAGGACTCTCGGGGCTATGAGATTCCTGGCGTGCTGTTTAATGCATCTTTGTACAGTTTTATTTTATTTCCTTGGATAACTTGGAAAGAGAAAGTTACATGTGATTTGTGTAGAGAAAAAAATTGCCAGGCTTTTTTCTTCCCTAAAGCACATGTATTTCTTTGAGGCTAGACCACATGTCAGAATAGGTGGAAATGCATCATGGGAAGAATAAAATTGGCCCTCGTTTGTTCTTCCTATGTGTCTCACAACTCACCAGAGTCTCACATTCTTTAGGTTCCCACAGCATGGTTTGAGTGGCCAGTGGTTCAGGATAAAGGAAAAAGTGGCCAATTTTGTGGTTTTCATTTTAATGAAATTTAAAGTGTGCTGTCTTATTGAAACTGCTGGGTTTGCCTTATTCATTTCTTCTTTCCTTTCACCAACCAAAGACAGCTTTAGTGTACAAAAAGCAGCCATAGTCCTGGTGTGGATGTTCTTACAGAGAATTTAAGGATGAGAAGGAGTCTCATGCATTATGAACTACAAAGCCCTCTACCTACCACCTGCATTGTGAGAAATTCCCCACAGTCTGCCCAGTTATCTGCTGCCTGCAGGTGCATAAGAAATTGTAGAAGCTACGCCAAATGTTCTATCTCAAAGAACAGAAATTCAGTTTGAGTTGGAGATCTATGATAAGGATGGCATTTCAGAAAGGTGTATCAGTGAAAGGAGGAGATGTTCTTTAAGAAAATAATAAGCCAAAACTCTCCAAAACAAATAGGAGGATGACTTTGATAATGGTGATGACAATGATATAGCTACACTTCCAACCTCATTAAAGCCACATTTTCTTAATGTCTTTGAGATTAGATGCTGTTGGTGGCACAGCTAGGACCATTGCCTCTCCTGGGAACTCACACTTTATGCCATTAAACCCATGTGTCTGTTACCATGTTTCTGAATTATATCATTATTTTAAAAATTAAGTGTCATTTTCTGGTAAAAAAAAAGATTCTATTTTCATTGTGAGTGGCAGGAACATAATTCAAACTAGTTTAGACCAAAGGGAGAGGGGATTTGTTTTTAGATTCTAAGGCTTCTCATATAATCCGAAGAAGATTTGAGTAGCTAAACCACGAGGAGGCAGAGGTACAACTCAACCTTAGAAATGTCTGGAGCCACGGGTCAGAGCCCTCCAGGGCTTATTTCTTATTTCTCATTTCTGCTCCTGTCTGACTAAACCTAAGTTGCTTTTAGTTCAAGAAAATTTCTTTTTCCTAGTAGAAAACACAAACACTAAAATCCTCAGAGCATCACATCCTTTTATTTTCATGGTTTCCTGAGAGCTATTGGCTCTCTCATTCAAGGTTTGAAATTAATGAGAGGATTTCTAGTGACCATCCTGGGTCATGGTCTCCATTCTACCTGACTGTCAAGGAGGGCAGAAGCTCAGAGGCTCTCTCTGGATGAGCTCATGTGGCTAAATTAGCTAAACCAAAGGAGGAGAGCATTGTTCCCCACTAAGGGAGGGGACTGGGACATCCAAATGATGAGGGATTTTTCACACTCGCTTTTAATGCCATAAAAACACAAAAAGCAGAATCATAAATTTTATGTGCTACATATTCAATTTATTCTGTACTGATGGCTTTCATATGCTTGATGAAAAACTGAACACATTTAGGTTTACTTTATAGGATTAATAAGAAAGGTAGGAATGTACTGAACTAGAGCTCTAAAAATCTCAGTTCTTGCTTCCATTTTGCTACTAATTAATATTGGAAAAAAAATCACACTTTCTCAAAACCTCATTTTTTCACCTGTAAGATGGGTGGGATGAACTACGTCAGTGTTCTAAACTGGGCAAGTAGCAGTCATTTCTGTAGAGGGAGTTCAGGACAGTGTGGGAATGGGATCTTTTTGGTTTTGTTGTTGTTGTTACAGTGTTCGGGAGGAAGGTACTAATAATATAATGGGGGAAGGACAAGGATGCTAAGTGTTCTTCGCCAAGCATGATAAAAAGGCCAGCCTTGGTGGTTCATGCCTCTAATCCCCCGCTCCTTGGGAGCCAGAAATTGGGAGGATCATGGTTTGAAGCCAGCCTCGGCAAAATGTTAGTGAGACCAAATGGTGGTGGTGATACAAGAATGTAAAAGGGGGACTGTTGGGTGGGATCAGTAGGAGGAGGGGGGAAAGGAGAGAATACTCGGGGATTAAAAGGATTGAAGTATAACACATATGTATGTATGAAGATAGCATAACGAAACCCACCAAATATTTGCAAGGGGGGTGGAGGAAGGAAATGTATTAAGGAACATAATAGAGGGAGGGAATTTGTTCACAGTACACTGTGTGCATCTATGGAATCACTGCAATGAAAGCCCCTTGTATTATTGATGTATGCAATTTAAAAAAGAGAAAAGTCAGTAAGACTCCATTTCAGTCAATACAAAGAGTCTGATGGCACAAACCTATAATCCCAGCTACATAGGCATAGGTAGAAGAATTGTGATCTATGGATGGCCCCAGGCAAAAAACATGGGACCCTTCCTGAGAAATAGCTATAAAGCAGAAAAGGGCTGGGGGCGTGGCTCAAGTGGTAGAGTGCCTGCCTAGCAAGTGGAAGACCCTGAGTTCAAATTCTAGTGTTACCAAAATAAATAAACAAATAAATAAATAAATAAGCAAATATGGCAACAAAGAGGCCTCCCAAGTCAATAGTGTTCCACTAAGAAATGCTGGATTGAATGTGGGACAAGTTTTATACTCTCTGTATTCACTCATCCAATAGGATATGCAACTATAATGAATAGATTGTAGAGTGATTTATTATAAGGAATTGGTTTATGTGATTGTGGACATTAGCAAGTCTTAAATATGCAGGACAGACTATCAGACTAACAATGCAGGGAAGAGTTAAGGTTGCAATATTCAGTTTGAAGCAACAGGGAAGCAGAATTCCTTCCTCCATGGGATACCTGTCTTTTGTCTTCATGTGCTCAACTGATTAATAAGGTCCACCCAATTTGTGGAGGGTAAGCTACTTTACTCAGAGACTATGAATTAAATGTTCATCACATTTTAACAATACCTTCTTAGCAATATCTAGACTGGTGTTGAACCAAGCAACCAGGCACTATAACCTAACCATATTGATTGGTAAAATTAACCATCATGCCATGATTTGGAGAAGTACTTAGGATTTTTATTTATTGTGAAGTTTTTCTTCATTTGTCTTTATTCTTCAAACATTGTTACCCATACATGTAATTAATTTGGTGCCAAGTCCTTACATTGCATGCCTGTTCCATAGGAAAGAATGCAACTTACTCTCTGGAAATCTTATCACATGCTTAGATTGTATGTTTAGGACCAACATTTGCTCAAGTTGTGGCCCACTGCTCTTACTTCGGTTCTCACTGGACAGCTTCCAGATATGGTCAGCTCTTGGCTCTATCCCACACCCATCACATCCTCTAAGTTCAATGTCAGGGTTTCCTTATGTGTTTTCACAGAAGCATTGTGTTCCGTGCCCGATGTCTGGATATATGCCTGATCTTTCATATGGAAGCCCTGAAATTTTTCTGAAATATATTGATAGTTGTTGAAGCTTAAGGAAAATATTGTTTCCTTAAGGAAACACTTAAAGATGCTAAAATGGCTGAATCAGCTGTATCTCACTAAATCCAGTAGCTGAACAGTTATTTGTTTGCTTAGATGAGTGCTTATACTACTTCTGTTCACTCTAATACTGACATTGAAAGATCACACTCATACTGAAAAAAATTGCATCATTTATAAGCATTATGCAAATTGAAACTAATGTCTGGATTTACATATATTACCAATACAGCTATAAGTCACACAAGAAGCTATATGAGTTGCTAATTTGTGTTCACTGAATAAATTCCTTTTCACTCTGCATCTGATTTTGGATCTGCTGGAAAGATTGATTAACCTTCTGACAAAAATATACATCTTTTCTTACAGACATTTGGGACCCAAGGATTAAAATCAGCTCCTCAATTTGAATGTCTCATATGACAAATGTTTTTGAAGAACTAGTAGAAGTGCAAGAGCCCATGAGACAAACCACAGCTTGCTGGTCTGTCATTAATTTCTGGGCTTGGAATTGTCTAGGGAGCCAGTAAAGATTCTTACCACTTTTGTTCAGAAATGTGGCTACAAACATCAAAATAAAACCACATGACTTTCCAGGAAGTTCACAAGAGAGGACCTACTCTGCGGTCACTGCTGGATGCTAAGACCCCCTCCAACAGTTCTTATATCAATAGGATTATTTACTCCCAAACCTGAATTTTCTCTCTTCTTATTCCTTCCTTCCAAGATTCAGTCTCTGTTTCCAAGGGCCCATTTCAGTAATGTGGCCAGTGACTGAAGAGATGTCCTTGAATCACATCCTAGGATCCAGGGCCTTGCTAGCTATTGCTAGATACTCTTGGGGTTGATTTCCTTCTTACTTATCTTCCATCACCCACCTCAGATTCAGATTTCCACCATTACTGCACTCTGCTATCTCCCTTCCTTCCTTTCTTCCTTCCTTCACTCCTTCCTCCATCCCTTCCTACTTCCCTCCTTCCCTCTTTCCCCCTCCTTCTTTTCCTCCCTGCCCCCATTCTCTCTCTCTCTCTCTCTCTCTCTCTCTGTTTTTCTCAGGGCCTTGCACTTGCTAAACAAGCTCTCTACCACTTGATCCATGCACTGTCCCCAGTTCCTTTTTGCTTTAGATTTTTTTCACCTAGGGTCTTATGCTGTTACTTGGTCTGTCCTCAAACTGTGATCCTCCTACCTCTGCCTCCTACATAGCTGGGATTACAGTCACAAGCCACCATGCCCACCCTTCTTCTGCTCTTTTTTAGGGCATCTGTCATGGATTAAATTGCATTCCCCCAAAGATACACTGAAGTCCTAAACTCTCAGCACCTCAGAATTTGACCTTATTTGGAAATAAGATTGTTTCAGGTGGAATTAGTTAAGGCCAAGGTCGTACTCAACAGAGTGGGCTCTTATGACTAGTACCCTTATAAAAGATAGACATGTAAGGACACAGAGACAGAGAGGAATCCGTGTGATGATAAGCAGGGACTGGAGTATGCATCTGTAAGTGAAGGCGTGCCCAAGATCACCAAGAAGCTAATAGGAAGCAAGAAAGGATCCCCATCTTGGGTATCAGAGGCATATGATGCTGCTGACACCTTGATTTCAGACTTCTGGGTTCCAGAACTGTGAGACAATGGATGTCTCTTGCTTTAAGATGGCAGGTTGGTGCACTTTGTTAGTTCTAGGAAACTAATGCAGACCCTCACTAGGCATCTTACTCTTAATCCATTCTTCTCCCATTGCACTTACTTGAAAATAACCAGGCACTGCCCGATTCCATTGGGTCTTTTACTTGCTATGGAAGAGGTGGGATCTCTTCCGTCTTCTCTCGCTTGTTCTGCTCTCATGGGCAAGCGATCTATCCATCTAACTCACCTACGGTCCAGCCTTCTAGCTCACCTAATTTCTGACCCATGCCAAAGTAAACCCAAATGCTGTCACCTAGTGACATTTTTACAAACTCTAAGACCAGAACACAGTTTGTACTTCTTCTCAGACGATAATGGTACAGGTTATGGGCTGAATGTTTATGTTCTCCTAAAATTCACCTGCTGAAGCCCCAGTCCCAATGAGATAATATTTTAAAACAGGCCCTTTGGAGGTAATTGGAGTTAGATGAAGCCATGAAGGTAGGGTCATCAAGGTGGGAGTCCAATTTGAGTCTCCCCCACTGCCCCGTGTACATATAGATAAGAAAACATGAGTATTGTGACTACATAGTGTAGTGGTAGCTGCCTGCAAGCTAAGAGAAGAAGTCTCAGAATGAAGTTCATCTTGTTGGAACCAAGCCCATGATCTTGGGCTTCTCAGCCTCCACACTGTGAGAAATATAATTCTTTGGTTTATATCACCACTCTATAGAATTTAGTTATGGCAGTCCACATGCATTAGAACAGTGCATATGTTTGTGATCAGCTTTTCTGGACTTGTGTACTTCAAATGCAGGCAACACAGCATAGACTGCCACTGGGCTTGGTGACTACCTCAGTTCCTGGGGTTGATGTAGCCAATTACCACGATCTCTTGACTTGAAATGACAGAAAGTCATTCTCACAATTGTCAAGTCCAGAATCAAGATGGAAAAGGGCCACACACCCTCTGAAGGCTCCAAGGGAGAAAGAACACTTCTTTCCTCTTTCAGCTTCTGGTACCTCCACGGGTAGCTGCAACCCAGTTTCTGCCTCTGTCTTTACATAGCTTTCTCCTGTGTTTTGGGATGATCTCAATTTGTGATCCTTAATAAGTTACATCAGCAAAGACCCTTCTTCCCAATAAAGCCACAGTCACAGGTTTTAGGGGTTAGAATATGGACATACCACTTTTGAAGATAGCCATTCAACCCACTACATATAACTACCTAGCAGAGAAAAAAAGATGATAGATCATATCAAAAGCAAAACTGTCAAAACGAAATCCAGAAATGATTTATGTTGGTTTCAGGCCATCCCCCCACCATACTTTGCCTTTAAGAAGATTAAGCCTCTGTTGTTTCCATATGGTTGGAAAGAAATAACTGCAAAGCCACTGAACTAGAAACTTAGGATTTGATTTTCTTCTTCGTGACAGGCTAAATTACAAAGACTGCAAAGCATTTTGTGTGCACATGAGTTCCTGCTTTGCTGCAATTCAACTTTGGCAATTTACATTTATAGTGTTCAGCCAATTAAGCCGCTCTTATCAACTTAGGGCATTTCCAGGAGGAGGCAACACACAATTAAAGTTCTATCAGTGAGTCAGCTTCCATCTGTGCGCCAACTCTCAGCCTCAATCTGTTTCCACAGTTGCTTTTGTATCCCGGGCCTTTTCCTGTGGCTTATCAGTCTGTCCCCAAATCAGCAGAACAGGAGGGGGGCAATTGTCTGTCTGTTAGTGCAAATGGCAAGGGAGAGAGAAGTTATGGAGCCAGGCAAAGCAAAGCAAACAACTCATGGCAGAAGCATTTGGCAGCCATCATAAATAGTGCTGCACTAATATTTGTTCAGTTTAATTATTCTATTTGACAGTCACTATAAATGAGTGGCATACAGAGAAATTATTAGCTTTATTTATAGATAATTAAATTAAGAAGTTATTTATAGATAATTAAATTAAGAAGAGTTATTTATAGATAATTAAAGAAGAGTTGAATGATCTTTCTAAGACCCTAAGATTTGCAAGCAGTATACCAAAATAAGTGAGATAGTTTGACAAATTATCTGTAAGGACACTTTCTAAAGGTTGATCTCTAAAATATTTTTTAAATGGAAGAATTATTGCATTTAAATAAGCTTGTAGTTGCTAAAAGGAACTGACCTAAAATAACACTGATTTGGGTGGAGTTTACTAAAAATAAATTTTATCTTTTTTTCTTATAAGAACAATATAGTCATTCCTTAAAAACCCTTTCAAACGGGAAATAATTATAAATTAACAGTGACAAATTTATGCTTAAAGGCATTGGATGCTAAGGCTTTGTCTGAAATTGAAAAAAAAAGCTATTTTTAAGACCTGTGGATCAAGCTTACTCTCAAAGCTTAAGATGGTGTGATCCCAAAAGCCAAAAATGATGAGGAATCAAAAGGAGAGAGAAATCTGGGCCATTTAGGTCATTTTATCCATGATGACTGCAAACATGCAACCCACTGTCATAAGCACGTGGGATGTTGCTAGCAAGGACCTCCCATTTGAAACCAGCTGAGGAGACCCATGAGGTTCAAATGCTTGGTAAAGAGCAAGTGACGCAAGATGTGAAAGGCATAAAAACGATATCCTGTTCCATCTCTCAGAATATCATCAAATGCCTCCAGTTTCCTCAAAAGTCTTTCAAAGACTCCGACATGTGTTCCTCCACCTTACAGTTCCTTGAAATAATAATTGGGAGGAAAAATAAAAAGTAAACCTTGTGTGCAATATTGATTTCTTTAAGCATACAAAAATTTGTAGCAATTGACTTCTCTTCTCTTACAGCCTCACTTCATAATCTGATAAAAAGACGCAAACTATATAGGTGGTATCATTTGTAGATAGATAGGCATGCTGTTTAGCAGTGTTTGTGTTGGATGTGTGTAGAACTAGAACTAGATTTGCTACATTGATTGTACACTGTACAAATTCAGCAAATGCCATTCATTTGACCACAATGTGAACAAAACCTTAGGAAATACAGGTGGCCCGGAAATACAACTCCCTTGTTTCTTTTAAAACACATGCTAGCAACTTAGAGCCTCCTTTTCCAGTAGCATAATCTTCTTGAGGTGTAATGGTTGCCTGTTTATATTGAGTTTCCTATCAGTGTATCTTTCGATAAGGAAGTTATAAGAATCCTGATAAATGCAGGCAGATAATTGAATAGTCTTACTTTTGTTGAAAGGTAAGTGTTCACTAAACACTGCTGATTCATCTTTATTTTTTTAAGTTTCATTGTCAGATAGTTAATAATTGTTAATCCTGATTTTGAAACATGGATATTACTCTTTACTCATAACTCCTCATCGCCTTTTTTACTACTTTGTCTAAGGCTTATTGTCAGCAGGAAAAAAATGCTTACATTTCCTCATAGAATAAGAATTTAGTCACCCTATTCCTCCAGAAATCTGGCAGGCAGTTTTGTTTTCAAATTTTCCACACCCTGAGTGTTGCACAGATAGCTTTTGTTTTCCCAAACGATCGCTAAGCTGCTCAGGTGTTACTAGACAGCTCTTCACTGCAAGCATGCTATATTAGAAATAACCTCAAGAGCTGGAGACATAGCTCAGTGGTAGAATGCTTGCCTATGTACAAGACCCTGGGTTCAAGCCCTAGCACCAAAGAAAAGATAAATATAATAACCTCAAAAATCTCAGTGGCCTAAGCAACATTTTTTTCCCACTCACAGGTGTGTGGTTCAATTGGGGGCAATTCTGCTTCAAGCTGTGGGACAGAGTCAGGTCACCCTAGGATGGAAGCTTCCCTGGGCATGACCTTTTCACAGTCGGTAGCGGAAGCACACAAGGGCAAACCTGAGTAAGAAAATGCATAGGATGCTTCTTTGAATTGGGCATAGGAAGCTTCTGATTGGGCATAGGAAGCTTCTGATTGGGCATAAGTTCTACCCAAGTTCATTGATTGGTCAATGCCAGCTGACCACAGTGAAGTACCTGTGTCCTAAAAGAGAGCTAGTGCAACATCATATGATCTAGAACATTTTGTGATTCTGTTACATGCAGGAAGACTGATGTGCACAGTAAACCAACGCACAGTAAGTCCCTTCAGTCCACACTATGTACAGAAATCTCAAATCTATTCTCTCTCATTTACAGGAGTTGAAATTGATTGGATTGGATATTCCACACTTTGCTGCCGATCTCCCACTGAACCGATGTAAAAACCGTTACACAAACATCCTACCATGTAAGATGGTCGACAGTGCCAGTCCTAATCATGCTTTTTAAAGGTCAAAGGATTGTCATTGCAGCTTAATCAATCTCCACCAAACTCCATCCAGACCCACTTGTGGTCTGAATCTCAAGACTATCTTTGCAATTATATTGATCTTACTAGGGCTTTGATATTGTTAGGTCCTATGGGATGGAGGAAGATTTCATTACGATGCTTTTAAATGAATTGTGTTTGAGCAGAAGAAACAAACCATTTGATCCTTTGAAGACCAAAGAGTCTTAGCTAAATTACGGATCAGATAATTTGTGCTCTCATGAAATATTTTCTGGGAATTCACTGATGAGGGAAGGAGGTTAATGGAAAGTGAATTCAATGTATTAAAATGCCTTCTCTTTCTAACTTCTGGAAAGTTATGTTGCTGTTCAGCATTCTGTAGTTAAAAGTAACAATTCAAGAAAAAAAAGTAACGTAACGTGCTTACAGGACAAGATAAATACCTTCTAGCATTCATTTAGCTTTCTTCTCTGCTTCCCTGTAGGTGGGTTAAGAAAGAATGAAAAAGTGGAAAGAGGGAGAGTGAAAAAACTCTAGAAAGAGAACTCCATCCTTGATATTGTTTCTTGATAAATTAGGTAGAATTGTAATAACATTAGCTCTACACTTCATTTGGCATCCATGAAAAACAAAAGCCAAAATACCTTAGATACAGAAAACCGAGAAAAAAACAGTGGTTGGGGGATGGTAAGGCATAGGTCCAAGTGTACCATGGAATAGTTATATAGGGGAAACAAGTCTAGAGGTGTAATACACACCATGAGGACTGTGGTTAATAACATTGTGTGGTGTACTGAAGATTTGCTAAGAGAGCAGAGTTTAGATACTTTTATCACAAAAATGATTACTATCTGAGATGGTAGATATGTTAACTTGCTTGACTTTAGTAAACATTTCACTATGTATATGCGTGTGTATATATATATATGTATATATATAAACTTTATAATGCACACCTTAAATGTTTACAATAAAAATTAAAATAACTAGGGCTAGTGTGTGACTCAGTGTAGAGTACATGTTTAATGTGTCCAAGGCCCTGGGCTCCCTGACCAGCACCAAAATATTAAACAAAATGTAATAAATAAATATAAATAATAATGATTTTCAAAAGGCCCGAGCATTTTCTATTCTCTAGGTCTCCCAAAGAGAGTGAGTTCTCTAGATGTCCCTAGGTGAAATGAAAATCATGAATTTAGGCTATGTACAGTAACATTCCAAATTATCAGTTAGCTATTTTAGTTCTGTAAACATTCTCCACAAGCTTCATAGAATCTCGAGATGATTCTTCCAAGAAGAGATGATGTACAGAAAATAGTGCTTGAAAGATATTCATGTGTTTGTTTAAGCCAGAACTACAATTTAGGAATGTTTGAAGAATTGGGCTGCAATAAATTTATCTGACTACTCCATCAATGCCTGATTCGACTTGCTATTGGGTAGAGAGGGTCAAGATAATTTTTCCTTCCATCCTGGTTTTTAACATTTCTTTTCTTGTTCTTTACAGATGACTTTAGCCGAGTGAGACTAGTCTCTATGAATGAAGAGGAGGGTACAGACTACATCAATGCCAACTACATTCCTGTAAGAAAAATAAAACCAGAGTCTAGCCAGTGGATGACTGTTAGGGCTTCAGAGATGTGTCAACCAGTTAAAAAGAGAGCCATTCCCCATCTAGCAACTGAACTCCAAGAACAGTTTCCATTGTTCCATTTCAGAATATAGAATAGTAGAGGAAAGATTACAGATTAGTAATGTTCAGGTTTTTTTGAATTAGTGAAAGGGAAAAATAGGAAGTAATGCTAGAGACCATCTTTCTTCTGGTTAAAGTTCAGTTTCAGCAACCAAACTCAAAGGGTTCTGCCTGCACCTGGGCGCCAGTGGCTCACACCTGTAAATCCTAGCTACTTGGGAGACTGAGATTGGGAGGATCATGGTTCCAGGCCAGTCTGGGTAAAAAAAGTTTGCAAAACTCCATCTCAGTAGAAAAAGGCTGGGCTTGGTAGCACATATCTGTCATCCCAGCTACAGCAGGAAATATAAAACAGAAGGATCATGGTCCATGCCAGCCTGGGCAAAAAGCAAGACTCTATCTCTAATATAACCAGAGCAAAAAGGACTGGAGGTATTGCTCAAGCAGTAAAGTGCCGACCTATCACAAAGCCCTGAGCTCAACCACAGTAGCCCCCCAAAAGGGAAGGTCCATCTGAACACTTGTGCTTTTAAAACACCTATAAAGGTAGTGAACATTGCAATAAAAAGCTGTGGGTGTAATTTTACAGGCTTTCTGAGAGCGATGCTTAATATCACACAGACCATTACAGTCAATCACTCTGATTGCCTCTGATGAGACAAGGAAAGACGTTACATAGATGTGTGATCCTTTGCCAGCTTTATCATCAGGAAATTTTCAGTCTTCCCCATTGGTATAGAGCATCTGGCATTAACAGCAACTGGTTAAGCAATAACTTTGTCATTTATCTTTCAGGGGTACAACTCACCTCAGGAGTACATCGCCACCCAGGGCCCACTGCCTGAAACCAGAAATGACTTCTGGAAGATGGTCCTACAACAGAAGTCTCAGATTATTGTCATGCTCACTCAGTGCAATGAGAAAAGGAGGGTGTGTATCAATGAGGCTTGTTCCCAAGCCACTGCCATTGGGCTTGTTCCCAAGCCCAAACCACTGGTTGGCCCAGCCACTGTCCTGGATGAAGTGCCTACTATGTAGCAGAAACTATTGCACTTGCTATGTTTTTCCTCCTCACAATAGCCTTAATGGTTCTTCAGAAGCGAGGACCTTTGCTTTTGCTAAATGAGCACAGACTTAATTTCTTCCCTAGACTCTTTGCTCTAAAAGATTGTGTTATTTTTGCACCAGGTGAAATGTGACCATTACTGGCCATTCACAGAAGAACCTACAGCTTATGGAGACATCACCGTGGAGATGATCTCAGAGGAAGAGCAGGATGACTGGGCCTGGGCCTGTAGACACTTTCGGATCAGTTATGTAAGTCCCCAGTCCAAAATCCAACATCTCCACTACCATCCCCTACCAAAAGGTCCTGGTGGAAGATAATGAGTACATCAGGCTTTACAGTGCTTCTTCCTTCAAGAGAAAAATTCCACTTTCAGTGTAGTTTCCCATTTTATCAATGGGAAATGATAATAAAAGATGAAATGATTGAATTGGAGGGCCAGGGAAGTTGAAATAAAAATCTGCACTGGTCCATCTCAAATTAGCTCATGACAATAGAAGATTCTGTTAATCACTGCTTACCAAGCATGACTGATAAAAAAGGAGTTCTTGTTTCTCATATTACGTGAGTTTGATTAGGAGAATGAACACTTCTACCTTGAGTTAAACATTTAAACCATGATTTAAGTCTTCAGGTTTTGTTCTGTTTGATTTCCTTATTTTGTTCTGGGCTTCACTATATGGAAGCTATTTTTAAGCCTTGTTAATCATGGTTCCTTATCTCTCTTGAAGTGCTGTTGATTTCTGATTGTTAGAATGTCAGAAAAGTCTACTTTACCTGCAGGGTGTGTCTCTGATGACACATCTTTGTGTGCAGGCAGCTTCTGTGCCCAGCTTAGGTGTTAACATCACCCTGTCATTTTCTACCTACAAGCATCCCATAGCATGTAGAGTTTTCACTAGTGTAGTCCATTTGAATGTGCTCTTTGCTAGGACAAAATTTAATAAGAAAGTCTTCAATTGACATAGAAACAGCCTTTCCTAGTGGTATAGACCAGAAGATGGCAAACTCGGGTGTAGACTAGGTCTCCCTGTTTTGTAAAACCAATGAGATAAGAGTGGTTTTTTAATCTTCATAAATGGTTGAAAACATTTTAAAGAATATTCCACATGAAACATGTGAAATTCAAACTTCAATATCCATAAATATCATTTTATTGGAACATAGCCCACATCTGTTTACGTATTGTCTATGACTGCTTTCATGCTACATCAACCTTCATGACCTGCAAAACCTAAAATGTTAAGTGTCTGATCCTTTCCTGAAAAAGTGTGCTGACCCTCAGTGGAAACCAAGACTGCCCATATCAATAATAGCCTAAGTACTCTGTAAGTACCCATGTATCGGTATTTACAAGAGGTAAATCACATCTTACCCACTGGTAGTTAACAATGGCTTTTACTGCAATGAAACTTTATCAAATCCTAGTGTCCCTAGAACAGACTGTGTTTCATGCTGTTCCATTCCTTTGACCCACCATCTTTTCCTGTTCCCCAAGCACACTTCCACTCAAATATAGTTTCAGCTCAAATGTCCTCTCCTGTGTGGAGCCTTCCCTGGTGTCAGAGACCTTGAGCTCTTTCCTCCCTGCTGGAGTCCACACATGACACTATGGTTACAACTCTCTCTTTATTTCTGCCCCTCCCCCAATCTACTGTGAGTTTGAGAATCAAATCTTCTATCTTTGCATACAATCGGTGGATGAATTATTTCAACAGTTATAAGGCACTTTGTAAGGCAACAGACAGAAACAGTTCTCAATCTTAGCTCCATTTGAACTAATCTTTCTTTCTTAACTATTTCAGCCAGAGCAGTGCAAACTGCTAAAGAACTTTCCCTACATTTATATCTGGGAGAAAAAAAATGCAGAGTACAAAATAGAGTCTGTTTCCAGTCCTGGTCCCTTGACATGAAGATCTATCACATAGATCATTGTGTGGTCAATAATACGTTTCTTGTCCTTGGTCTTAATTGATGACTTGCCTTTCAAGGACAGCAACGTGAAGAGCTTAAACATCAAGAACAGGTTTTCTCATAAGCCATTTACAGTGATTACAAGTATCTAGCACTGCAGCGCCCCCTGTTGGCCTTAAGCAGCAGAATCCAAATTTTAAGTTCCTTACCATGAAGGCTAAATTGACCAGAGAACATGGTGCTAAATTAATAATCTATTTTTCTACTTGTTTAATTTTTTGTTTATACCTTTCTTTATTACTTCAATACTGAGATGTGTAAACTTTTGAAGTTCGACAAGATAAAATTATATAAATGAGGACATCAGAGTAAGAGAAATTTGGCAATGCCAAGGAAGATAAAACCAGAAGGGTTTTCTCATTTAATTAGAAAAGAGGAAAATGACCACAATATACAACTTACCACTTTCCAGTACTTGCAAATTGTCATGAACTGAATAAAGATCATGCCATGAGAGCAAAGATTGATAGAGACTTGTTTGTTCCAGGGAGTTGATGCCAGTTCTAGAATCTCTGCCTTGCAGCAATGGAAATGCTCGTGACAATTTGGTAGTGTCCTGATTTTACATCACCTTGCACTTTGCAGCTGAATGTATTTTCATATCAACTGTATTGGAATATAGATATATAGAGAGAGATGGGCAATATACAGAAGACAATGTAAAGTCTCATCTATGCTAATTATGATCAGCATTTGAACAGGGTTGGCATTTGGGGACCCTTTCTGGGAAACCCAAGATAGCTGACAGCTGAGCATCCTTAAATCCTCATGGTGTTGAATAATTGCTATCCTGCACAATTCATAACACATGGGTTACTTTCTTGACATACTCCTGAAGACAGCAATGAGGGCAGCCAGAATCTTTCTAACCTTCATGCTTTGTTTGTCTATGACAAAGCTCTTGAACATAAGTAGGGAGGCACTGTTTGCTGCTGGGATATAAGGACTTAGGTACCAAGTGACAATGAGTATAGTTGGAGTGATGGTATTTTTAATTATATAAATCTTAGTACGCATTTATACATTTTATTTATGCTTTTAGTTATATATTTATTTGCATTGATGTAAATTTTGTCCTGACCAAGACGGCTCAATTTTGCTTCTTGCAATCCATTGCTCTATGCTACCTGAATGTAAATTTTAGATCCAAATGCACAACCAAGTTAAACTCTCCAAAATTATGGTATAATATTCCATCCTGAGGGTGGATCATAGGCTCTTGGCAAATTTGAGGGTTGAGAGACAAGCCACATTATTTATGAAGCTTGGGTTTGAAATCTGTCTGCCTGTTGACAGCAAGAGAAAAAAAAATCATTCCTACAAATCAGTAGAGACTAAAAGGAGTTGATCTTAAAAGACCTCATGCTAACTGATATTTTCTCAGCTTAGAGGGAGCAACAATATCTGATGTGTGGGTTAATACGAACTGATTCATGTTGATGTACAAAACAGTTCTACTTCCTAGAGATTCCCAGAGCCAACCATGTAAATGACTGAGCAGGAAGAGAACAAATGGTAGTAGTGATGTAATTGCAATAATGACAATGATAGTTAATTTGCACCATCCATCACACACACACATCATCTGCTTAATCTACACAATGATGCTTGTTATTGCTATTATTCAGTCCTTTTTAAATAATGAGAAAACCAAAGCTTAGCAAGTCTGTCTTGGGTCAGGTCTCCTACTGTCAAACCCCAAGGCAGGGATTCCCAGAGAAGGTATTTGTTAGAAAGTACTTTCTTAAGTAAACCTAAAAGGGGTCAAAAGAAGCAGAATACAACAGGGAAGGAGTCATATACATCTGGGGATTCAGCCAGAGTCTAAGACAGGTCCTACTGAGAGTGCTCGTGTGTGAATAGTGGTACTCCGTTCTGACAGAAAAGCTGGATTTTCACACCCTGGTCCAGACAGGAGATACAACCTCTTAGACATTCTGCAGTGCGGCAGATTCCTGTCATGGAGGGCAGCTCTCACAAGGAGGGCCCAGCTATTCCATGGGCAGAAGCTGGAAAAGTGGTTCCCAGGCTGACAGAGGGATCTAAGTTGTGCACAACGCCTTCCACAATGTTCAGTTCAAAAGCTGACACCACTTCTAAATGGCAGAGTCAGGATGCAAACCCTGACCTGCTTAAGCTCTGTCCTAACCATGCAGGCGTGAGTTAGCCTACCTGTCTTACTGTTTGAAGCTTTTTGCTGTTAGTATTTTTTTCAGGACCTACTTTGCACCACTCGTGGTGCTTAGCGCTGGGAAGGGAGGTGCACCGCCCGGAAGAGGAATGTGGATCTATCTCTTTCACTATTCATGGGTGATCTACAGTAAAGGCCTGGGCTATCCTGATTAATGCTGTTTAGGGCTTTTGACTCTCCAGGCTGACGAGATGCAGGATGTGATGCATTTTAACTACACTGCATGGCCCGATCATGGTGTTCCTCCAGCAAATGCAGCAGAAAGTATCCTACAGTTTGTACACATGGTCCGACAGCAGGCCACCAGGAGCAAAGGCCCAATGATCATTCACTGCAGGTAATCTCATCAAGTGCTTTCCCATTAAGTAGCAGGGTTGTTTTTAAAATAAAGGGAATAACCCTCCCTTCCATAAACCCTGGATCAGATTTAATCACAAGTGACTCTTTGGTTACTTGACATCTTGCTGTACACACTGTTTACTTACAGTATGGTTACCTTATTTCTATAGAATATAGGACAGTTCTTATCATTCCCATTGTCAGAAGAAAGAAAAACTGAAGACTAGAAACAGTAAGGAATTTACAACAGTTCATTCAAGTACAGTGTGAAGGAATTAGGATTCAAATCCAGGCACACAGTTCTCCAAAGGCTATGCCCCAATTACTATATGTCATTATCCATCCCCATCAGCGATTCCCCATGGTGATAACATGGGTAAATACAAGAACAAATTAGAAGTAGCTATCACAGTTCAACACAATATAAGTAAATACAAAACCATGAAGAGGGAAAGAAAGAATGAAAAAAATCAGCATATGAAAATTAAACAGGTTTGCAGTGGTTATTCCTAAATTGTTTCTAACCAGGTACCAGTGGCTCATACCTGTAATCCTACCTACTGGGGAGGCTGAGATCAGGAGGACCTTGGTATGAGGTCAGCCCAGACAAATAGTTCATGAGACCCCATCTCCAAAATAACGAGAGCAAAATGGACTAGAGATAGAGCTCCTGCTTTGCAAGTGTGAAGCCCTGAGTTCAAACCCCAGTCCCACCAAATAAAAAAAGGTTTCTAAATTTCCAAACAGCCAGAATGAAAAGGAAATGTGATCCAGAACATTTTTTTAAGAAAAAATCATGGTCCACACTAATTATTTTGTGGGAAGTGTGGCCTTTGAATTTAATAATTCCTTCCCACCACATGAACAAAACTCCATCAAATCCAACCCTGTAAAGTCTGAGGCACCTGCCTAGCAAGTGTGAGCACTTGAGTTCAAACTTCCTGTGTCACCAAAATCCATCCCTGTGACACAGTGTTGTAAAATTTTGCACAACTTCAAAAGATTTTCCTTCACTTGCCATGGAAGTCAGAGGTGAAATAAGTGAGTGGTTTTAGACTTTTATAAATTCATTTAAAATAAAATTCAGGGACTGTGCATGGTGGCTCATGCCTATAATCCCAGCTCTTGGGAGGTGGAGATCCAGAGTATCGTGGTTCAAGTCCAGCTCAGTCAAAAAGTTAGCAAGATGCCTTTCCAACAAACAAGGTGGGTGTGGTAGTGTGCGCCTGTCATCCCAGCTACATGGGAGGACATAGGTAGGAGGATCGAGGTCTGAGATTGCCAGGACAAAAATGCAAAACTCTATCTGAAAAATAACCTGAAAGCCAAAAGGCTGGAGATGTGGCTCAAGTGGTAGAGCACCTGCCTAGCAAATTCAAGGCCATGAGTTCAAAGCCCAGTACTGCCCCAAAAAAGTTAGATTAAAAAAACTAAATAAATCTCGAGATCACTATAAAAATGATATTAATGTGAGGTAAAAACGTAAGAATTTGATTAACAAGAAAAAGAATTAGGAGACATAAATACTTCTGAGTGCACTGAAGAGATGGAACTGGTATGAAGATGTTGAGGGAAGTTTTAGAAACTGTGACAGCCTGACCAGTAAGTGTGTAACCCAGGTCTGGGACCTTGTCCTTTGTGAATTAGAGTAGCAGTGCTGTGGTGTGTGTGTGTCTGTGTGTGTATGTTTGTGTGTGTCTGTGTGTGTGTGTGGTGTGTGTCTCTGTATATGTTTGTGTCTGTGTGTATCTATGTGTATGTGTCTGTGTATATGTGATGTGTGATGAGTGTGTGTCTTTGTGTGCGGTGTGTGTGTCTGTGTAATGTGTGTCTCTGTGTGTGTGTGTCTGTGTATATGTGATGTGTGTGTGTGTGTGGTATGTAGTAGGTGTGTGGTTTGTGTCTGTGTGGTGTGTGTTTCTATGTGTGGTATATGTGTGTGGCATGAGTCTGTGTGTGGTGTGTCTGTGTGGTGTGTGTCTGTATGTGTATCTATGTCTGTGTGTCTGTGTGTGTCTGGTGTGTGTGTGGTGTGTGTGTCTGTGTCTGTGTGTGTCTGTGTGGTGTGTGTCTCTGTGTGTGTGTCCCTCTGTATGCATGTCTGTGTATGTGTGGCGTGTGTATCTATGTGTGTCTGTGTAGTGTGTGTCTCTGTGAGTGTGTGTGTGGTGTGTGTATCTATGTTTGTCTGTGTGTAGTGTGGGTGTGTGGTGTTAGCCCACCGAGACTCTCACAGTTTAACAGCTGGCTTTCACAGTTGAGATTATTCTCAAAATGGTTCTTTTCAAGAGCTGAGAATATAGCTGCTCCCTATGGGGTCAAAGTCACACCCTGTTGCTGGCAAGCACAGCTCTGGATGTACGTCACAGGTGCTGCTCAGTGTAGATTTTTTTATCTGAAAAGTCCCTGGAGTGAAGAACTGTTTAATAGGATAAGCAAATGAGGCTCTAAATTCAAGACTTTCAGTACTGGAGTTTTCTCCTAGCAAATTCCATCTCTAAATTGGCTTCACCTTTCTCTTTTCTATCATTACAATTCAGAGTTTAGAACCTGTTCACTCTTTGAGCTATGAGTGATTGGAAGAGGTGGCTTGAACATGAAGAACCAGGGACTGTAGTGGACAGATGATTTGGCCATGTCAGTCCACTTCTACCACGCTCTGAGCCCTGGGATTTGGAGACTGCATGAGACATCAATATGGCCCCAGAACTGATATTAAGCTGTGGGAATGTCAACTAGACTTTTGAGCTGGAGGCCTGGTATAGTAGCTCAAACCTATAATCTCAGCTACCCAGGAGGCAGAGATCTGGAGGATTGCAATTTGAGAACAGCCCTAAAAAAAACATTATCAAGACCCCCATCTCAACTAACAAGCTAAGTGTTGTGGTATGTGCTTGTCATCTGAGCTACTTGGGAGGCAGAGTTAGGAAGATTTTGATCCAGACAGCCCCAGGCAAAAAGCAAGACCTTGTCTGAAAAATAACTACAGCTAAAAGGGCTGGAGGCATAGCTCAAGTGATACAGTGCCTGCCTAGCAGCATAAGGCCCTGAGTTAAAGCCCCAGTACCACCCAAAACAAAACAAAGGACACTGACCACAACTGAATACTTAAAACTCAGTTAAATAAAACACACTGTCAGGAGTTTAGTCTTCTGTTTTACAATGGTGCCACCCATAGTTTTCAGAACTCTTCAGTTTATTTTCCACAGTGAAATAATATGCACTGTCCAAATAGTATGCATTCTAGATCTTCTTTTGCAGTGCGGGCGTGGGACGGACAGGAACCTTCATTGCTTTGGACAGACTCTTGCAGCACATTCGGGATCACGAATTTGTGGACATCTTAGGGCTGGTGTCAGAAATGAGGTCATACCGGATGTCCATGGTACAGACAGAGGTAGGAACATAATAATGTATTTTAAAATTTGCCCTTCATCAAACACATTCCTGTTATTCAAACTCATGTTTCAAAACAGTTACCTCAAACTTTGTTTTGCTTCTACCTTTCCCATTTTCTTATTGCATACTAACAGCTACTGCAGGTACAGATGCAGGAATGTCTAAAGGTAGACGTGAGCCTCTAGCAATCAGTTTTGTGTGTAACAACTACACGAAGAATGGTGTCATTTGCCCTTTAGTCAACCTGAGCACATGGTGTCTGCAATAGAGTCCATCCTCTTCAAGCAGAATGAGACTTACTTGAAGCCAATCTGGGAAGATACCCTCAGATGGAGACTGTATGACACATGTGATTTAATTTATATTTGAAGTGTTGCACTGATTGGCTTGTCATTAGTTTTTCCTCCATGTCCCAATTCACTTTTGATGATTACCATAAATTGAATTTGTACTTTCTGTCTCATGCTTGTAAGGATCTCCAGCCTCAACCAGTATCACCCAATCTCCCGATCCTTTAATCTAAGTGAATGCATGTATTATTTTAATCACGTGCGTGGTCCATCCTCAGCACAGCCATCAGTGTGAGGGGCTCTCTCTGCCTCCTCTTCTCTCAGGTTCTTCTTTCCCTTGAGGTCTTGGAATGCACTGGGGCTGGAGGACAGCCCCATGTGCTCCAGGAGGCAGCATCACACTGCCTCTGGGCGCAAAAACCCCCAAGTACAATTGCTGCCTCATAATCCGAATCACCCAGCCGTTCTCACAACATCAGACACACAATACTTCTTTCCTGCAGGAGTGTGTGTGGGAGGAACGCTTGTGGAATAGAACACAGCCTGGCCTGACTCTCTTTACCAAGACATTTTTTAAAGGTCCTGGTCTTCCTCATGCTTTTTCCACCTATCACCACTAGATGGCAGTACAACTCAAAAGCCTGGGATAATGGCTGCTGTCTCCAACTCTGGGTTTCTCCTTTCCCCTTTTTTGTTCCTCCTCTTCCTCCTTTTCTCACCCTCCAGAAAAACTCAAGTGGTTTTGTTTTTTCTCACCCTTTTCGCTTTTCTTTCCTGCTATCTACCCAATCCCATTTGAGCAAGGCTTGGCACAGCCCTTCCAATGTGTTTATTTCTGAGCGACATCGAGATCTACTAGTTTGGAAAGAGTGACCCATTCATATTCAAAGTTTCATGGCTAATTAAGAAGCCAGTCGTTCATCTGTTTCTTCACTTCCTTGCGCCCATGCAGTCTCGATCGTGGGGTCTTCTGATTTACAGTTGTGGAGACATGCGCATCAACTTTTTACCATAAACTTAAAATGTCATACTTCCCAAAGAAGCCCACCACCTGGTGGTTAAATGGAAGCCAATTTTTTAACACTTATTTCCATAAATTTACATCCTAATATGTGATAAAACTCCCCATATATATGTAAAATCCTCAAGGGCTTATCCTCATTTTTAATATCTTGTATTTAATGACTTGTCTGCCCCATTCATTTAATTTATACCTCTTACAGCTTCATAGACTTTGATTATAGTCTGTTTGTTCTTGACTTTTCCAACCACAGAACCTTAATCCCTTTTTAAAAACCACCTTCACGCAGCAGACCCTCCATCCTATTTTCAACCCTATTATTTGTCCTCGAATGTGGTAACAACACAAAACCTGAGCAACCACAATGTGGCTTTCTGGAAAACCAAGAATATGTTTTGTTTTTCTCTCTTTCTTAACCCAAATTTTAGTTGTCCTTGGTTATAGCAGCATTTCAGGTTGACCTCTCCACAAAAACAGTCTTTTACTAGTATGACATTCCTGCTTTGAACTTCCCTCTGGAAATTCAAAGTCAGCAAAGGGGGCAGAGATCTCTCAGGTTGCTACTTTTCCCAGCTGCTCTGGCTTTACCTTTGAGTTGCCTAGGGATTTTGCAGTGGATATTTTCAGGGTCCAGTTATGCATTTGAGTCTGCTTTGTTAGTTATGTCTAGAACATCTTCTTGTTCATTTACCTTTGCTTTTCTCTGGTCTACAATGGTTCAAACTGATTTTGGAATTCAGACAAATTTATCTATGGTTGTTTTTCAGCCTATTCACATGCTGCTTTCTAGTTTTACTTTTAATAAGTAAAGAACAAGCTTTAAAAATGATTCTTTTCTCATTTGTCAATCATGGATGGTTTTCAACAGGACAGAATCAGTCTCCAGTTGAATTCTGCCTAAGTATTGAAATCAACCCATGAAATGAATACCTCCTTTCTTCCCATCTGTGCTTTCTAATATTCCAACCTTCCCTTACACCACCTGTCACCTTGACTCCATGACTTCACTCTCTCTGAAAAATGCCCACAGTGACTGATTTAGTCAACTATGTCCTCAGGGGCATCTGTCAGGGTCATTGTCACATGCTGCATGCACTTCACCTGACCACATGAACTGCAAGGGCTTCTCCCTTACCAGTACAGGGACAGACAGGAGGAAAGCCAGAACTTGGGAGAAGGCCCGAATCTCAGCTTTAGTGCTAAACTAATCATGTCACCTCTACAGATTTAGAGTTATCTCTAAAATGTGCATGACAATTTTCACAAATTACTGCAGATATACATTATGTAAAATGATAGGCTCCAAACAAGTGCTTTGAAACTATAAAGGTTACTGAGGACGGCATTTGTCTGTCTTCTACTGTTACCAAATATTTTGTTTGGTTTTCCTCTAATGGCCCCTCCCTAGAGGTCAGTTAGGGCTTTGCTTTTTGCAGACTGTCCTCCCTATGGGCAGCTTGGACTTCTCAGGGACACTTGAGATGTGTCCATAAATAGTCTTTTATTTGCTTTTCCTTTAGTCTTTTTTTTGACACAAAGTTTGGCCTCTGGGCAGTTACGGGGTGAGAGCTCAGGCCGGAGTTTTCTCTATTCCCAATGTTGGCATAACACCAGAAACACCAGAGCGACGTGTGAGAACCACAAATGGTGACTCAGTTACTGATGCGATGCTCTGGCATCAAAAGGGAATATATTTTCTCTAAGGGTTGCTGAAAAATATGGAGCAGATGAGGCTCCAAGCCAGTGGGGTTTGCAGTGTTGCTTTTATCTTTGAAAACAGCTGCTAACAAGCTTCTTCTTAAAATCCTGCAAACATCTTTTTTTGTTTGTTTGCTTACTTTTAAAGACAGGGTCTCACTCTGTAGCCCAAGCTGGCCTTGAACTCATGATCCTCCTGCCTCAGCCTCCTGAGTGCTGGGATTGCAGACCTGCACCACCATGCCCAAGGTTATATCTAATAGTGCATCTTATATAGAAAAAGGAAAAAATCCACAAAATTACATTTATGTTATGGCACAAAAGCAACAAATATTAATAGTTTTGTTCATTTCATTTCAGCTTTCATTCAAGTTTAACTTTTACAAAATTGAGCTCATGTGCTATACATATGTATGTATTTTTACAGAGTGATTTTTCACTTAGCATTTTACTATGCATACTGTATATCACAAATGCCTAAAGCTCTAGAAATCTGATTTTGAGCGCTAATACTTCATTATGGATACATCATTGCTTACTTGACCCGTTCTCTTTTTTTATAGAACATTAAGTTGGATTCTTATCAACTTTTCACTATTATCTGTGTCCTCACCATGTATTAATGGTACCTACACCACCAATAAGTAATAATGACTGTGTCAACAAAGTCAGGTCACCATTGAATGCTACTTTTTCTCTCCCTAACTTTACCGCATTCTTAGATGAAAATAACTGTTGCAATTTATATTTTTATTGCTTAGTCATTTTTGCATATACTTTAATATTTACTTTGTTTATTTAAAAAAATCACTAAATAAGTGTAAACTGCCAGGCATTAGCAATAAAATGGATCGTCCTCACGTGTCTTCCAGGAATTGTACTACATTTATGTATTTGCATGTGTTGCTGATTTGATTGACTTTTCAACGAAAGTAAAGATATTGACATTTCCTCATAACTTGGGAAAATATTTTCCCTTCTAATTTCTGGTTTGCCCTTTACTTTTATTCTTTTGATCATTTATTTTGGTATATAATAATTTGAATTTTATTTGTAACTTATTCCATTGCTTTAAGTTTGGAAATTGCTTTCCTAAGGTAAACAGAGAGGAATTAACATATATGTATATATATTGGGTTTTGGGGTTTTTTTTGCCATGCTGGGACTTGAACACAGGACCTACACCTTGAACCACTCCACCAGCCCTTTTTAGTGAAGGGTTGTTTGAGACAGGATCTAGCGAACTATTTCTCCAGGCTGGCTTTGAACTGAGATCCTCCTGATCTCTGCCTCCTGAGTAGCTAGAACTATAGGCATGAGCCACCTGCACCAACTAAACTATATTTGTGTTGTTTTAATTTCTTAAACTTCCTAGGATTTATTTCCATGTGTGGTGAGGTAGTTCGCTATTTTGTTTTCCGAAAGAGTCCCATGAATTATCAGTTGAATCATCATTTCCTTTGGCATCATGAAATGGTGACCTAACATACTTCATGGCAACCATAGTTGATAGTGTTGCATTTTGTACTTGAAACTTGCTAAGAGAGTAGATCTGAAGGGTTATCATCATTAACAAAAAGGTAATTGTGTGAGGTGATGTGTGTGGTAATTAGTTTGTGACAATCATCTCATAATGTATATCAAATCAACACATTGTATACTTTAAACACATACATTTTTATTTGTTATACTTCAATAAACCTGGGGAGAAAGAAACATTCTGCTATATTAAGAAAAAGTAATGAGGCTAGGCCCTATAATCCTACCTACTTGAGAAGCTGAGATTGGGAGGATCGTGGTTCCAGGCCAGCCTGTGCAAATGTTAGTGAGACTCTATCTTACTATCTTAATTCATGAAGGTGGCCCATGCCTGTCACCTGAACTACATGGGGAGCCTAAATAGGAAGATCTCAGTCTAGGCTGGCTGGGCATAAACATGAGACCCTATCTTAAAAATAAATCAGAAAGGGCTGGGGCATGGCTCAAGTGGTAGAGCACCTGCCTAACAAAGTGCAAGGCTCTGAATTCCAACCCCAGTACCACCAATAAAATACAGATAATGAGGTTCTAAGTAACACTATTAATAAAATACCTTTACAGCTGATTCCCTTGGATTTTTAGTTAGAGAACAGTCTCTGTAAAGAATGAAAATGGCTTCCTTTTACATTAGATCCTGATGACAAAAGTATCGTCATACTAAAATATTTTATCTTTGCATATATCTACACAAATACATCTCGGTCTGAGACCTGATTTTGTCTTTTGCCCCAGGAGCAGTACATTTTTATCCATCAGTGTGTTCAGCTGATGTGGATGAAGAAGAAGCAGCAGTTCTGCATCAGTGACGTCATATACGAGAACGTTAGCAAGTCCTAGTTCTGAATCTGGAGCAGTAAGTTGAGAAGAGCCCTCCATGGTGCTCTGTGTTAAACAGGGGGAGGGGATGTGATGGGACGGGACAAAAGGCAGAAGTAACCATTGTATCGACTCTGATTCACACTCATCATTCTCTCCACCTTTTGGCCTCACAAGGATGGTCGCAAGGATGGTATTTGTGTCTACAAATACCATAGTGGATCTCTAAGTTCCAGTGCACTGGTTGATGGTAGCAAGAAGGAGGAGCTTTCGCACTCACCATTTTTCCTCCATTCCCTCTACCCAGAACCTTAAGTCATTCTGATATCACATCTGTGCCTACAGTATAGGGATGCTACCATTCAACTCCATCTCCCTAGATATTTGTGCAAATACTGTTTTGAATGACATGGGTTACAAAGCAGAGGTGAACTGGAGTGGACACGCCAAGAAAGAAAAGCAATTTGAGAGCAGAGCCTCAGTTTAGTGGACTCTAGAAATGCCTTGATCTCACACATTGTGTGAATGATACTTGAGAGCGTCATGAAAATATTAGTGACTACGAGATCAGATTTTGGAGATGGGAGTGATCTTGTTTGACGTAACAAGTAGGCTGGTTATTTAGCTCAGTGATAGAGTACAGTGTCTGAATATCCTGGGGTTGGAGAGCCACTGATAGAGTGGCAGAGGACAGTGGTACACTGTGGGAGAAATATGAAAGGATAGGAAGTATATGAGTCAGTAGTAACAGGACAAGATTAGCATGGCATTACTAATCCGATAGCAGGATTAGCATCCATTGTTGCTCTACAACCACCAAGAAAAAGCAGCATGAGTGGGCAGGAAGGATAAGAATAAGGAAAGACAGAGACAAATTTGTAGAAGAAAGACAAAGACAGATTTGCAGGTGGAGAAATAGATGTTCAGACCCACAGAAAGGAGGGGTCACACAGATCTAAAGATGCCCAAATAAATTCATGCCCACATGGGTTCTGGGGTTGAGTGTGATCAGAGCCAGTGGTAGGGTGGGGAGGATCCTGCTGATCCCCAGGCTGCTGACTGTCTCTCTCTCATTCACAGGAGAGGATGTGATATGCACCCATCCTACCTTGCTTCCAGATGTTTTTGAGGAGATGCCAGTTATTTTGCTAAAATGAGCCCTTGCTCTGTATTATGTGGCCAAGGAGGTAATTTATCTCATAGGAGCACTGGGGATCCTTAGCCTTAAAGAGCCTGCAGTGTCTTTTGGACTCTTTCACTTCTGGACATTTGATGGACCAAATTCAACAGAACACCAGAAAGGTCTGCAAAGGGTAGGAAGTACAAGACTTCGAAGACTATAGTTGGCCCTTTGCTGGTTGGGCTGAGTTGTTTTTTTTTTTTTTTAAGTGCAATAATTTTTGTATGTGTAAGATTTTATCAGAAAGTTGAATCATTCTCTACCCACACTATTAATCAACTCCACAGCCCAGGAAAGAACAGGCATTGTTAACATTAAATTATACCTCATTATTTAAGAGGCATGGCCACACACAAGGAAATAGTAATTCTACTTCCAAGATCTATACTCCAACCTTGAAAATATGGGATCAGGAATGGGGTGGGTAGATAGGGAAGAGAGAGAGGTTCTCTCTCTCTCTTGACCCCACAGATTAAGCACGTGTCTTTTCCTATTCCAAATATGAAAACCTGTACTTCAACTTCAAAATAGAGTAGAAAAAATATTTGTCTTAATTGTTCTAGTTCTTGATGGTTTTATTGCTTATTAACAGTTGAGTGCTTTTTCCTTGGCCCTTTTGGACTAATGTCACTGTCCAGATTCCTTTTCAAGAACCTAGATCTAGTTCAGAACAGTTTCAAATCTGACTCTAAATGCTGTTGCTGTCTGAGCAATCTTGGTGCCTACACTTTACATTTCTTTTTCTGTTGACCTGCATACACGTAAGAGCTGTTTCTCAGAACCATCAGCTGTGAAAACGCACTTTCCTCCCCCTGCCCCCAAAGAGCTGGGAATTTATGACGTCATGGCAATGAATTTCGGCATGCTAGGACAATTGTTTGACTACATCCTTTTGTAACACTGTCAAGTGTCTCTATGGATTCCGACAGAGATTTCTTTGTTTTATTTTGCGTTGTCAGTTTCATTTTAACCTGTGTAACTAGTGGCATTTTATTCTTTGGATTTTGTATAATTACAGTACATGACTGTGTATTGTGACATGAATACTGTCAAAATGGACATTGATGGCATTGTGAAAACTGTTACTTTGTGCCATTTCCTGAAAAGTAAGAGGTGATGGTAAGGACATACAAAGGAAAACATTCTGAGTTGAAAGTAAACAAGCTGGCTGCTTCACTGTGGCAATGTGGCTATGTGAGTCTGCCTGTGTGTGCCCCCAGGAGGCTTCACGCCTCTCCCTGTGTCTGATCCTGCCCCTTCCCCTGGCTTCTATCCCTGCCAAATCAGCTTCATGAAACCATGTATGTAGGATCTAGGATCAGCTTAATATTTCAGCCATGACCTCAGTGAAGGTAAAGGATACCAAATGAACAGCTTTGCACCCCACTGACTCTTGTCACTGAGAAGGTTTGGCCACAGTCGACCTTGGCAAAGGTGCTTGCAAGATCTAGCCAGCAAGTCTCACTTTCACATTGCAGGGAGAACAACAGAGGATCTGCACCCCACAGTTTAACAGCTTGGGCTCCTCAGGAATTGTCAGTTTTTATTTACCTCCTTTGCTCTGTTTCTTGATTCCCTCTGCCTCTTCTCACCCTACTCCTTTAATTCTCTCTTGGACATTTTAATAACACATCATGGCAGTCTCAGGAACAACAAAAGTAAAGAAAGGTGGCAAGTTTATGTATGACATTCTTAGATTCTCGCACATAGACAGGTCAGGAGTGAAATGTGTGACATTGGAAGAGCTGGAGTGATGAGTGGGTAAGCTGACATATATTTCCCACACTGCCACAAAGATTCTTGCAGATTTGTGACTTGGAACATGACTTCCTGTGAAACAAAGCACTTCTTAAATATTTCATGTTTTTCTTGGCCACCCCTCACAATAGGGATCAAATAATGCCAGATCAATTTCTCCAAAAGAGAAAAGGAGTCTAGACAAAGACTCAGAGTTGAGCCCACAGGAAGGTCACAAAGAAGCATGTCCCTAAATTGTCATTCATGGTCTCTTCTGTCATCACTCTGTAGAGTCCCTGGTGGGAAAGGCATCCATCTAGCAAAAGGCATGGATTCTAATTCTGACAATGACTTCGGAACTTATCTCTGCTGAGTTTCAGTTAATAAACTGTGGAATGACCTGGGAATAACATCATATTTTGTAGGTGTAAGGAGTATCCAATATGATAATTCATCCAAAGGTGCTTTGTATCTTGTTCTCTCATGAACCCTAAAGCCACTCTAATCAGCTCTGTTTCCACCCCGGGAACCAACTTTAGCATTCAGGAGAGACGATTCCAGGGAGTCTGAATTATTAATTAGGTTTTAAAAAAATCATTTGAATAGTGCTTTGTACTGAATGAGCAGAGAAGCACTACCACATGCATTTCATAATAGCCTGTATGACACCAGAAAGCACCAAAGACTGTAGAATTACAAAATGTTTGTCTTCTAGTGTATACTTTTGACATCAAATAATTTGGCTGGAAAAGACAATTAATGTATTAATTGAGAAATTACCAGTAAGATCTAATTTATGATTTTTAACCAATTCAATATACATTGTGTAATTTTATTTGGCTTGAAAAGAAAAATATAGTGATGAATGACAACCTTTTTTTGGACAGTATTCTCCCAAAATGAAGAAAGCTACTCAGATTTTTATTTTATTTTAATTTGATGGTACTGGGTTTGAAATCAGGGCTTTGCACTTGCAAAGCAGGTGTTTTTCTACTTGAGCCACACCTCCAATCCCTGAGATGTTTTTAATGTCAGGTTGTTGCTGTTTGGTGGCACCGGCGTTTGAACCCAGGGCCTCGCACTTAATAAGCAGTTACTCTTACCACTTGAGCCATTCTGCTAGCCTTTTGTGTCAGGTTTTATGTCTCTCTTAAAAACTGTCCCTGACCCCAACCTGTGACATATCTCTCAAAGGAAGCTGTGGTGTCCGTGGGAAAAGCAGTAGCTACAAGCTTTTGGGCCTGAATTTTTTGCAGGTCACATGATAGCTGCTTGCTGGAGGACTGGCTCATAGCCAAGTAGTTAAAGTTACTGAGCCAAATCTCTGAGAGCCAGAATTCTTTTGCTTTCTAGCAAGGAGGCCTTCCTTTACATCTCAGGAAATGTCTGGTGCAATGTGCTTCAAATAGCTGGCTCGTGTCCTGGATTACAGATCTCCAGGCTGGCATTTGGCATGGGGATGGAATCCAAGAACCATGCCTATGAGTGTGTATGACATTCACCATGGCCAAAGGGGTTATGGTGCAGAAGAGCATAACAAAACTGCAAACATCTACCCCCGTCTTCAACAGCCCCGCCTGGATGCATTTGAAGAAATTCCAGGAAGGACATCTTGACCTCTGGCCTTGCACAACAGGAGGACTTTTGTTTCCTGTTTCAGTTGGTGCTTATTGCAAGGCTTTACCCTGGTGAGTCACTTGACTGAAGATGGGGTGTAAGCTGACATTAACGTACTAAAGGAGGTCCATGCAGGATCACCAGAGCCATTAGTAAAGTGGAAGGACAACAGATCATGGTAACAAAAATTGGGAGAACTGGAGTTGTTAAACCTGCAGTAAAGAGAAATTTACTCACTCAGTCATTCATTCAACGAATGTTTGTACAATTAGGTTGAGGGACTCAATCAATCAACCAATGGAAGATTTCTTGACCACTTCCAATACATTAGCCACCATGGTAAGTGCAAATGGAGCAATGTGCTAGATTTTAAAAATAGGTTAAGAATCAGAGTTTTGTTGTTGAAGGGATCAGGAAAGCATTGGTTAAGTCTCTCCCAATACTGTCTTCCAAAACTTTGTCAAAATGTCTTGTGGACATACCCACCAACCAACATAATGAGAAGCTTTCCCAATAGCAATCATGACAGAATGCAAGTACTCACTGCTTTTATGACTACCATGCAGCAGAAACCCTGACACAGTCCCTCTGAAGAATAACCAAGCTAGTCCTACTCTTCTTCTCAGAGCAGGACTTTCAACCACACATATCCCTGGCAGGGGCAAATTGTTTTCTCCTGAACACTTCTAGTATGTGGAATTGCTGTCTCAGAAAACAGTTCATCCCTTCATTTTTCAGAGTGCATTTCCTCTTTTTATTTACACACCTAAGAACCTTCCTGGCATTGAGAATGGATGAGTCCATTCCTCTCATGGGCCTAGGATTGAAGCCCAAGCCTACTTCCCCACTTAGCAGTAGGGTAGGTGCTACATGCGTGTCATGGCTGCTTTGAAGAGAGCTCCAGCTTCTCTCATAGGCAGCAAAGGTGACCTGACTCCCAGGCAAGTCCAACACATTTATATCATTTTTCTCTTAACTTCAAAATGGCATCATGAGGTAAGAATGCCATTTTCTAGACTGAAAACAATTGAGAGGCAGTGTAGGTCAAATTACAATAGTACTGGGTTACAGGTGGCAGAGGTGGGATTCTGACCCAGCTCTGTCTAGCCCCAAGACTATTTCCCCTCAGTACATCATGCTTATCACAAAGAGTAATAGAATAGAATAGAATCAGTATTATTTAATAGAATTATATATAGTAGAATTAGTAGTTTCCTCTCCGGTTAATATATTTGATATAGAGGGCAACCTTTCAATTTGAAAGCTAGTATATTTCTAATTCCTTAAGAAAAGCATTTATTTGCTGAAAAGCTCATGGCAGACACTGTGAAAGGGGCTGTGGCTATGATGGATAGGACAAGGAATGTACATTCTAATAGAGAAAGTCACAAGTTAAAAAGACAAGGTGTCTCAGATGCCATGATAGAAGCACAAAGCATCCAATGTAGGTTCAAGAAAAGAACAGGGGGTTATTTTTCTGGAAAGGTCAGAAAAGACTATACTGTTACATTAAAGTCTTAAAGACTGTAGAGTCACATTAAACAATACTAATGGCACATTCATTTCTGCACTCACCAAGCATTCATAAAACACCAATGCACAATGGTTGCTGAGGCCCAAGTGGGTGACCACTCCTCCAACACACTCCCTCTGTAACTTTTCTTCATGGCAAAAGAGAAAATTTCTTTCCAAGTCACCACAGACAGCTCTGGTTCATGCATTGCTCTAGAATCCAACGGATTTACTGTTACTGCAAATGTAAGAATGCATATTGGATCTATACTTACCAACCCTGTTGCAGTGTGGATGAGTTCTGATCAACAGAAAGTGTGCTTCCTGGCCCCTGAGCCATAATAATTGTTCAAATTCTCTTTCTCTCTCTGTCTCTCTCTCTCTCTCTCTCTCTCTCTCTCTTTCTTCTCTCTCTCTCTCTATATATACATATACACACACACACACACACACACACACACACATATATATATACACACACACACACACACACACACACACATATATATATATATATATATATATATATATATATATATACACACACACATATATATATATATAGTCCTCCCTACTCACCAAAACAGAGATGGTGGTACCAGGAGCCTGGGTTCCTAAATCACCACTTGGAGGAGGGATACCTGCCTTGGTCCATGATGTCATCAAGGAAGAGCTTCTTGTTCTTTAGTCACTGATAGTCTGGTATTGTCAGTTATAGTAATCAACCTGTTTTTCATTCATGAGGCAGCATAAAGACATAACCTTTATAACTGTGTTCAATCTCAGCTAAAATAGGAGTTTTTCAGGACAGTGATGTCTGACTACCTAGTAAAATTCTCAGAAGGCAGTTTAAAGATGAAACAGCTACGCAACATTAACCCACAATGCAAAACAGAAACTCCACAGAAAAGGCCACAGAAGCAATGATGGTTCATTTAATAGGTAATCTTTTTATGGAAATATATGCATTCCTCTTCAGAAGTGGTTTTCCTCCAAGTTAGACCTCTCCTAATCTTTTGTTGTTCATGTTTTCTGAGCCATATTAACAAGGTCAAAGCTTAGGAAACCCACTAGAACTTTTTAGCTATTGGCTTTGAATCAGAGTCCTGGATTGCTGTTAACAATGGACCTCATTGTGGTTTCACATCAATAAAAGCCCAAACATACAGGAAGCCATAAGGTCTGCAAGTGGGGTGATTCAGGGCAACCCAGATCTTTGCATTATGTCTGTTCTGGTGAATGCCAGGGCTGTGGATAGGAGTTCAAAGCCAGCTGACACAAAAAACTTATTTTGTTTAGTTTTATGAACACCATAAAGTTTAAAGTGCTGTTTAAACTAGGGAAAGTTGGCTGCAACCACTACCTCATTTATAAATATAGAACAGAATGATTTTGGAAGGTTCCTTTTTGTCCCAAACCAAGGTAGATCTTATTGTGACTTAACCAGCAAGTTTGCAAAGCAGAACAGGAAAAATAGAGCCAGCAGTATAGCAGAGAACAGTGGATTTAAAAAATAAAAAGGAATTGTGGGTAGAGAGAGACTTGGGCCAAGTCCTTGTTCCCAACTGTGACTCCCTTGCCTAATTTATGAAATGACACAGTGATGGGAGCCTCCTCATAGGTGTCTTGGTCACTTCAGGCTGCTATAACAAAGTGCCATATACTGGGTGAATTATGAACAATGGAAATTCATTTCTCACAGTTCTGGAGGCTGGAAGTCAGAGATCAGGGTGCCAGTGTGGTCTGGTTCTAGGGTAAGCCAACTTCTGACTTGTGGACTGACAATTTCTGTTTTATCCTCACCTGGCATAAAAAGAGTGATCTGTCTGGGGTCCCTTGTATCAGGACACTAGTCCCATTATGAGGGTTCTAACTTCATGACATAATTATCTCCCAAGGAGCCACCTCCTAAGTGATCACATTGTGGTTAGGATTTCAACATATGAATTTGAGGGAGATGTGTTTAATCCATTGCACAGTCTTCAAATATAAACAAGATCATATGTGCATGAAGACAATACCTGGGAATAACTTACATACTAAGGGACTCTCCAGTACAAGCCAAACCCCACCATCTCCATGGAATTCATTAATAGATTTGATAAAAGCAACTAAAGCTGTTACCTGAGCTAGGCTAGCTCAGTTTCTCTAGGGCAGCACCTGAATTCCCTCTCCCCCTACACTCTCAGAGTCATAGACGTCAGAATATAAGATATGTTGTAGGCATTTGGTGCCAGTGCAAGAGCTGCTTTTCTAGACAAGCACCTGGGATTGCCCAGGTCTGCCTTTGAACTTCAGTTCTCCACTGGCATTTTTATAGGCAATGTATGTGTCCTAGTCCAGCAGATGCAACCCACATGGGCAGGGTTCCCTGCAAAGTCATGCCAGGGCCTGGTTCACATTTAGTACAGAAATTTGCAGCTGTACAGACAATTTGTGAAAATTCATTGCATTGGAATTATGTCTAATAAAAAACTTTTTAGCTATGTCTAAAAAACTCACTACTTCTAAGACAAGGAATCCAATTTGTCCAAACTCTAATATGCAAGCGTACCTGGGTCAGGTTAGGAATAAGAGGCTTGGCATAGGCAGGCACCACTTATGAATGT